CAACCCCAACCCCAACCCCAACCCCCCTACCTTTTTATGAAAAAAAAAAACATAAAATTTAGAAATTAAATTGAAATAAACATTAAAAATACCCTTATATGTAACATAGATTTATCATAAAGTAACTAATTTTTTATTTATAAATAAAATATTTTTATAATAGCTTTAATTATTTAATTTTCAATTACTTACTCAAAAAATTAAAATAGTATAATTTTTATAATGAATGAATGGAAGACTTTGAGATTCAAAAAAAGACATGAAATTAAAAAATTGAATGTATTTTTTTATAATATAAAAACTATTAGTGAAAGGATATAGTTGGTTATCAAATTTGCTCAGATGGTAATAATAAATCTTTTCCATCAAAAATCATCAAGTTACTTTCTAATAAAGAGAAAAGGTGGTTAGCGAGTAAATAAATATCTTTATTTTGTGAATATTTTAGTACTTTTGATGCTATCTTTAATTAAAAAACAAAAGGGTTTTTTAATTATCAAAAAGTTGATTCTAATCAATTAAATTTTGATTGATATAAATAGCATAGAAGTTAAAGAAATATCAAGTTGAATTGAAATAAATATCTTATTTTTGTAAAAGATGAGCAGCATTGTACAATTTGAAAATGCATACAACATATAGAGTCATAAAATATAAGAGAATGAAGAAAATGATATTGAAGTGAATTCTATAAAGTTGATGCTTTTAGGAAAAGAAACAGTTGGTAAAACATCTTTCAAGAGTTGCCTATTGGAAGGGAAAATACCAGATGAACACATTTAAACTTTTATCGATGCCTATTATTTTGATTTAAGAGAGTCAAGCGGCAAAGAAATTGTCGAATATGTTAGTAATATAAAAATTTAAGATAACATTTTGAATTAGTTTCCATTAAAATTTTGGTTTTGGTTATTAATTATTAGTTTTTAAAAATTCATAATAGGAATATAAGATTCAGCAGGTTAAGAAGAATTTTAGCTGATAATAGAATAAATGATATTTTATAATAATGGATTCTTCATTATATACTCAATTGATGATTACGATAGCTTTCAATAAGTTTAAAATTAGATATGGTAAAAAATCTTAACAAGTAAATAAGATTAAAATTTTTTTGCAGTTCTGATTGGAAACAAAAAGGATTTAGAGGAAAATAGAAAAGTTTCATTTATGGAAGGTTAAAATCTAGCTAATAAATTCGGAATTCCATTTCATGAAGTTTCTTTAAAAAATGATCCTAAATCAGCAAAGGTTATATTCAACTAATTGGTGCTTAGCATAAAAAAACAGGAATATTAATACCCTTATTATACATAGTAATATATGGTTGAAAGTAACTAGTCAAATATAAGCAGTGTATCACAAACAAGATCAAAAATGAACTCTATTCATAGTATTGATCCTAAATTTTAAAAATAAGTGTTATAAAATGAAAATAAGTAGTATAGAAACTAATAAATCTAAAAGGAAAATAATTGCTGTTGCAGTATTTTTTGAAATGTTTGCTAGAGATATTTAAAAAATATTTATTAACTATATAATATTTAGCAAACACTAAATTAATTACCATTAAGACATTAAAAAATATTATAAAAGACTAATTCTATATAAATAATAACTAATAAAATAAAAATATTTCTTATAACAAATGCTAAACCTTAAATAAAAAAATATAATTTTAATAAAATAAATTAAATATGTAAAGCTATTTATTACATTATTTATTCGAATCGTTTTCTGAATTTAAAAAATTTCATAGTTTACAAATATGACGTGATTGATAATCTAACACATTTATTAGCATTACTTTTCATATATAAAAGTCTAAAAACGTTTTGATATTATAGAAATATTTATTAATTATTGTTTTTAGCCTATATGTAAAACAAATTTGAATTTCATCAAATTAAATTCCAATTCTAATACTTATTATTCAAAAGGCATTCTTAAAAAAACAAAATTAACATAAAATAAAGAAATTTACTAATAAATTAAATTTTAAATTTTAAATTAAAATAATTTTATTCAAAATAAATATAAGTTAGTTACTACATTTTAAGATGGATATTCAGTAAATCATTTTTCTACTATAAAGTAGCTGATTACTTAATCTTTAACTTTAGCACATTTCTCAATAAAGAAAATTATTATCGAAGTATCATCCTCTTAGTAGATAGCATCTATAAATGGCTTAGAAAAGCTTAAAACTTTTGGAGAAGAATATACATCGTCCAAATATTATAGGTGTATTTATTCTTCGTATAATTATAGCAGAATGTTTTTTTAACTTTAGACATAATACTTTATACACTAATGCTTATTTGAGCATGAATAAACTGATTAGTTTTCACAAAATTTGTAACCATTCTTTTCGTAAATAAGTATTCTCTTTTAATTATCCATGAAAACTTATTTTTAGTCAAATGGATCTACTACATGCATTTATAATAATGGAATATCATTTTCAATACTAATGACAGGTTTATCTGAATCCTTATCTAAATCAGGGCAGAGGTATATTGTTTATCTATCTTAACTTAGAAACATGAAGCAGATTTGCTGGTTTTGATCTTTGTAAAAACTAAGTTATTGAAAATTTTGAAACATTTCATCAAGATCAAATTTCTCCTCTGTTATTGAGATAGTTTTATCAAAAAATGAAATATTAATACACTTTAATTCATTTTTTTAATTCCCTTAAGTATATATTTAAATGCAATTTTCATTTGAAGACAGATAAAAAGCTTAACTCTAACTAAACTATTAAGGCATTTTCCACATATTTTTTTCTTACACTGAAAATATACTCATAGTTTATTCATGTGAAAATATTAAGTATGAAGACTCTTTTTTATTATTAAAATAAAAAAAGTGAATAAATTCATTTAAAATTTTAATTCAATAACTTTATTTTAAATAATTTAAATTTACTATTAAACATTTTTTAATTTAGATAATTTAAAATTATCAATAAATTTATTTGAGGTCATTCATTTAATTAAAATTATTAAATAAATAATTAAAACTTATCTTACTATCTGAAGTTAAATAATTTAAAATCATAAATAAAACTATTTGTGAGTAAAAAATTTTATATTATTAAAAATAATTGTTTTATTTTATTTCTTGAATAATTTTGGACCAAAATTTTTTTTTTAACAATTCTTTTTTAAAAAACTTTGAGGCACGATGATAATTTTTAAATGATTTAAAATTTAGTCATCAAATAATAAATAAATAAATTAATTTTTATAAAATATTTTTTTGAAAAAATTATAATTTACTTTTAAATATAATGTGCTCAGCAAAATAATAAGAAGTTTCAGGGCTATTAGCTTTATAGTAGACTGATTGGAGTTTTCTGGAATCTGTGAGGTTTTTATCAAAATTGAAAATTTCGATTTCAAAAGGGTTGTTTTTGATTAGAGCAATCAAATTTACTTCAGCTTTGGATCTCTTATTCTTTTTATATTTTTCTAAGTCTACTTAACAGCTGAATATCAAATTTTAATGAAATTTAATTGAATCTTGATTTGATTTATCAGTTTTTTAATTCAAACAATCGATATGAGAGGACTCTAAATTAAATTATTTAATAGGAGTAAAAATTTAGCTATTTTACTATTCAATCTATATTTTTTCTTCTTGGTTTTTGTTTGTGCTATAAAATTATAGGTCTTGTTCTAGGTCAATATCATCTACTTTCTTTTATTCTATTTCGATATCTCTTTTGGAATTATTTGGACTGATTTTGTTGTTAATATTCTTCTGTTCTTCTCCGCTTTTATTTTCAAGCTTTTGAGATTATGGAGAAATTTTTTATTAATTATCAAAAGTTTCTTTTATTTTTTGTTAAGGAGATTTAGATGAAATTTATTCTACTTACTACTATTGAGATAAAATATGATCACTTTTATTTAAATCAGATTATTCAGGTGCATATTTATTAAGAATTCTTTATAACTTTTAGTCTGAATTGTCTTTTTTTTAGGATTCAGGAGATTAATTCTAACTTTTTTATTACATTATAGGACTTAATTTTTTATCATTAGAAAAATCACTTTTTTAAGCAGATCCGATAACCTTTTATGCACTCTCTAAATTTTTTTTAAATGAGTTTGAACTGATAAGGTTGTTACTATTTTCTCCTTTAATCATACTTATACTATTTTCCGAACCAAACAGAGTAGAATTGAGCATGGTAAGAGAAGAAGCATTACCTTTCTTGTTTGATGATTTTTTACTTTACTTTTAATTTTCATTAACTAATTGCCCATTGTTTTTAAAAGCCATATTTCTCTACTTTTGCAAATACTTTCTATGTTTGGAAGACCTCTTTTATATTAAGGATTCATCTTAGCGACAATCTTCACAACACCATTCATCATCAGTTTTAGGTAAAGCTGTCTCGATTTCTTAAGAATTATTTTGATTTTGTTCAATTTTTTTTAGTTATTCTCTTTTTTCTAGGCACTTTAAATGAAACCATTATCTTGTGCATTTTTTATTATAACAGAGCCTTACCTCATCTTTTTTGTCTTCTTGGCAATAGCAAGGAAGCTTTACTTTTTATTCTAAAATAATAATCAATATATAAAAAGAAGCAAGCTTATTAAATTACATTTAGATTTTATTGATTTTTTTAATTTTAATATTTCCTCTTCATTTTAAGCACTTTCTTTATCGTATTCGTCTTCTTTATCTTCATTATTTGAATAAATTTAATTTTTTTAAACCTTTTTATCAGATTGAGCTACTGGATTTTCTTCTTATGACAATAGAATTATGCTTTCATCAGTGATTCTTTTTTTATACTTAAATAAATTTGATAAATTATCTTAGAATTTAAATTTTTACAATAGGCTATTCTTTGTGCAAGTAATTTTTTGGGGGGGATCTTAGTTTCTTTTATTTCTGTTGATATTCCAATAAAATTTCTGTTTTCTAATCATATTAATTCTTTATTTAAAATAAAATATTTATTTTCACATATTTAAAAATTGTATTGATTTACTCCATCTTCTTCATATTTTCGTATATCCCCTATAAAATTTATAAATGCTTTCATAGATAACTAAAAGCAATATTTTTCTTTGTTCTCCTTATTCTATACAATATAAATATTATCAATAAAAAATATTTTCCAAATAAAAAAATACCATTAAATCATCATGCAAATGTTTCTTGTATGAGTAAGTTTTTTCAATCCCTTTCAACTTCTTTTCATCTTCATAAGAGCAAGTTTTAGTGTAGTCGTTGCTAGTAATTTTGCGTAACCTTTCTTTGTTTCGATAGTATTTAATCATTTACCCTTCTTTAATAACTATATTAAAAAATATTTTTTTTATATAATTTTAATATATATAGTGTGTCAAAAATTAAATAAACATAAACTAAAAAATTTAATTAATTACACTCTTTTCTTTCTTTTTCTAAGTATTCGTAAATGTTTTCAAATCTGTCTTCTTATTTTTCAGCTTGCAGCTTGATTCTTTCACATCTAGTGATAAAATCTTCTTCTGATGTTGCTTCACTATCGAAGGAAGGATATTTATTATTCATTTCTTCTTGAGCCTGCCTTCTAACAGGTTCTTAATTATGAGACTATTGATCATTTTTCACAGTATCGTTAATTTGATGTTATTTAAACAAGCCTTTGTTATTTTCTTAAGCTTCACTTTTTGGTTAATTTTATTTTTAATTCTACCTCGAAGTAGGATTATTGGCATTTTTAATTTCATTATTAAAGTTATTATTGTTGCTTAAACCAAGCCTTTAATATTCAAACACTTTATTTAAATTGTTTATCTTTTAATGGTGATTTTCTTAAATAATGTTTTATTTAGGAGCTTAATTATGCTAATAGTTATTATAGGAAGAAGGTTTTTGAGGTCTTACATCATAGAATTAGCCTTTCAAATTTTAAACATAATTTCTATTATTGTATTGATTTTATATATCTTATTTACGGTCATCACTTAAATCGTCATCATCTTCAATATCCTCGTTATTCTGATTATAATAATAATTTTAACTCACTTCTTGGATATCATCTAAATCTCCATTACTATCATCGATTTCATCGTCATCTTCATCTTCATCTTCTAATTCGATGTAATTAGGTTTAAGCTATATTCTATCTCTTTGATTAATTTAATCCTTGCTAGAAAATCTTGAAAGTAAATTAGCTTTATTAGAATTTCTTATTAGATCAGATTCTTAAAATTTGTTAGAATTAAAATTATTTTAATTTCTGTCAGCCTATTGCACAGAATTTATTTATTTACCTCTATTTAAAAAGTTATTCCCTTGAGCTAGTCTATCTTATTATTAAGACATATCTTCGATTTCAATCATTCTGTTTAAATTTTATTTATATTAATATCTATCTAATTAATTATTTCCATCTTATTCATAAAATCTGTGTTAAGAAATTTGTTACATATTATTTATAACTTATGGTTAAAATCTTAAGCTATTATTTTATTAAACTTAATACTATTGCATATCATTAATATTAGGATAGTAATTTTGGTACTATTATACCCCAATTTGTTAGAGGTTTTAATTATAATTTACTAAACGATTCCCATTTATTAAATTATTTCTATAATCTTATCTTTGTTAATTTTATGAGAAATTCATTTTTTTATTTTGTTTTTTTTAATTAATTTTTATTATAAAATTCTAAATAGTCTGAATTACTCTATTTAATTAAAATGAATAGCTATTTAATCTAATTATTAGAGTGTTTATTAAATTTAAAATGTTTATAAATTTTACTCTCTCTCCTAATTATATTTTTGAAAATATTTAATAAATTTTCACTAGCTATTTAAATTCAAAAATCAAAAATTAAAAAATAAAGTTATTTGTTTTAAAAATAAAATAGATTTCTTCATTAATTTTTTAAAAAGTATGAAATTATTCATGAAATTCAAATTAAAATATTGAGAGAATAAACTTAAAGCATTTATAATAATTAATTTAAAAATTATTATTGACAAAATAAAATTAAAAATTGTATTCTTAGTTAATTTTGAATAAATGTAATTATTTTTTTCAATAAAAGCTAAATTATTATATTATATGTCATTATTTAAAATTTAGCTTGTGGTCGTTAATAGTATTTCATTTTATTTTGATAAAAATAATTTATATTACTATAATTTAAAACTTTTTCTAAAGATATTTATATTATTTATTATAAATTAAGTTATTATTTACTTAATATAAAGAACTGCTTGGATCTATAAAATAGAAACTATTTATTTTTTAATTTAAAAGGTATCTTAAAGGGGATATATTAATTTATTTTACTTCATAAAATTAATTTTAAATCTCTTAAGCTGATAAAATTGATTGATTGATTTAAATTAAATAAGTTTAGCTTCCCTCCTAAAATTAAATTTAATATTTAATGAGGTTAACAGGTTGGCAACCTATATAGTTTTAATTTTTTTGTAGATATAAATAAATTTCTTTTTAATAATTTAGAAGCAATCAAAATTTAAATTAGAATTAAAGATAAAAATAGATCCAAGATCATAAAAATAAATAATATAATTTTATGTCTATAATCAAATCCTAAATTTGATTAATTTAACTTAAATATAAAAGGAAATTCTTTTATTTAAAAAACTAAAACCAATATAAATTAGTTGATTAGTTGTTTGAAAACTTATTTATAGATTCTTGATTTAAATTTCTTTAAAAGCCAAATATTAATTTTGTACTAGTTAAAAAAATGTAGCATATTTTCTTGCAATTATCTTTTAATTTTAGAAAATTAATTGTAAATTTTATATCATATTATTAATGGATTAATTTATTTATTTATTTGTTTATGAGTTTCTTAATATAAAAGTAATAAGAAGAAGTACAATCATTTATAAATTATAACTTACTATTGAAATAAACATTTTTTGTTTTAGTATTTAAAAATGTTGATAAAAATACACTGTATAATATGTTAATAAGTAGTCCAATCATAGTTTAGGAAGGAAAGTGCCAGGAGGAATTACACCAGGAGGGTTTCTGATTGCATTTTTATAGTAATAATCTACTGGTAATTTTTCTATTAACTGAATAAAGCATCTCATAGGCTTGGATAATTCCCTTGAACGCTTTGTATGTATAGTATGACCAGTTTTTTTCATAACAAAAATGAAGTTTTCTTAAACGTTCTCAAAATTAAAATTAGTTATTTGGTTTAAAATAGGGTCATTTCTTACTAAGTCTTTTTCTGCTTCAGTCATGAACTCAAATCTTTGTTTAATATATGTATAAAAGTAATACTCATATCTCATTAAATCTGTGTCAATAAGAGGATCGAACTCTCCACAACAATAAAATTTAAGAATAGGTAAATCATTATGTCCCATTTAATAGTATTCAGTCCAACCTTCATCACCTACTGTCATAAATGCCTTGAACCATATCATCAATGTTTCTGGATCATTACACATGATTGGAACATTTTCAAATTCAAAGTAATTACCATCATGATCGCTTTTGAATCTTTAAAATAAATGTCTACGAAATTCTATGCTTTCAAAAAGCTCTGGATTCTTTCTTAATCCATATTCTTGATCGTATCTATTAAAGACGCTGTACATGTAAGTGTGAGCTGGAATCCATAATATAGTAGGACCAGCAATATTAATATGAGCTTTAAACATTTTAGGGTATTTTTTATGACAAAATCTCCACATAACTGTGCCACCAGAGTATCCTAAAGATATAACCTATCTATTAATTTGCAAATGGTCTCTTAAAAGCATCATAATCAAATCACCTAGTTCATCTAAATAACCATGATAATTTCCTCTAAATATTTCTATCTCACCATCCATACCAGGCACCATAAAATTAATCCATCTACAAAGTAAAGAGCCACTAGGGTTCTAAGAAGGGTCTGTTATAGTTTATTGTAAGCCTGCCATTTCTTTAGGATCTCCTGGCCATCCATGAATTGTCACTACTATCTAGCTATTATGAAAACTTTATCCTTCTTTAAGTTTCTCTAAGTTATCAGTGTAGTAGCAATACCAGCCATTCTTAAAGGTAGCTTTTCTAATAGTTTCTTAAAATGCAAACTTTTACCCTTTAGTAAAATATTCTATTCCAAACTTTTGTTCATTTTCTTTTGCAACTTTATCAATTTGCTTGAAAAGTGGTTTATCTTTTTATTAACAATAATTCAAATTTAAACAATGCAAGAAATAAAAAGTTGAAAAAAAATGTAAAATACTAAATTTTTTAACAAATTGATTATTATTTTAATGTGCTTGTGTTAAGAAATAGAATTTACTATCTAAAAAAGAACTTAACATTTCAAAAAGTCCTTTTTATCTGCAGTTTTATGAAAAGATGTAAGTAGAATAATTAATAATGTGTTTCATTACTTTCAATTCTTGGGAGACCTGTAAATTTGAATATTTCTTTGCTTGCCATTTTGAGTGAATTATTAATTTTATGATTTGGAAATAATATGTTGAAATTAGCTTAAGATTTGAGGAATGCCTGATTATTTTTGCTACTTTATAAAATGGATTTGACTATTTTTTTGTTTTCTTTTTAGAACTTTTTAAGATTTTAAAAATTGATTACTTGATTTTAATAAATCTAAATTTTATCTTTTTAAATAAAACCTTTAAGGTAATTATATAAATTGACTAAATGCTGAGTACTTCCATATGACGTATTGATTGATTTGCATAATTAATACATTTAATTTATCATACGTCGATTAAATCATACAACCAGCAGCCTTTTTAACTATTCTTAGTACATTTAAACATAAAATAAAATAATATTTTGCATCTTAAAAAATAAGCAAATAATATCCTCAAAAGTGGCATATTTTTATTTAAATTTTATTAAAAAATTATTTATTATTAAAAATCCAAAAAATTTATCCATTTTTGAAATTTCAAAAGATTTCTAAAAATATTATATATAAACTAACAAAATTTATATCACCGAATAAAAAAGTGAAAATTCTTTTTATTCTTCTATTTTTTATTTTTGATTATTCTTATTTGACATCATATAACAAAACTTTTAATTAATCAATGATGGACTTAATAATTCTTAAACTAAATTGATTGATGTTTTAACATATTATTTTGAAAAAATATTTATATTTTTGCAAATTAAAATCAGTAAATTTTTGTTTTTATGAATAAAATAAAATTTATATATTTATTTTTTAATATTTTTTAAATTTAAACTAAAATCTATTTATTTTAAATTTCACTAAAAGAAAAAAATCAAATTTTTACTTTATTAATAAACTATTTATCTATAATTATTTAATTCATTTATGAGCAGTTATTAATTTTATAAAGATGTAATCCATTAGAATAAGCTAATAAATTAATTACAAATTTTTACAATAATAATTTAGATAACATAATTAATTAAAATCAACATATTATAAATCGAAGGTATTTTTTGTTTATTTTTAGTTGAAATAAATAAGATAGTACATATCTATCTATTTAAGTATGTAAATACGTTTATTAAAAAATAATTAATTTAATATGATTCTAAATAATTATATTAAAATTCAGAAAGAATAAGAAACATGAGAGTTGTTAACATTTTTTGATATTTTTTTAGTAAAGAATTTTAAAGAAGGATGATGTGTTGTAAATAAATATAATTGATTTTGATCATTGACTTGATAACTTTGTACTTTCTTAAAAGAAGAGTTAAGAAATTATTTTTTAGTCTTTAAGAAGCAATCCTTAAAGCTTATCTAGACGTTCTATTATTGATTAATCGAAAGCCAAATAGTCTTCACGAATAGATTCTGAAGATGTGTTAGACTTTTTAGTATTTCGGGAAATATCAAGGCTGCTTGATATTATTTCCTTGTCATCATCACAGACGCTCATACTCTTTTTAGCTACCTTTTCATTTGTTTTCTATAAATTAGCATTATTATCAACTGATTAAACAGTAAAGTGTCCTTATTTACCTGATTAAATTTAGTTATTTGTGACTTAAAAATTAAGTTGCTACTAATTTATTTCTCCAAGTAAATTATTCATAAATTGAACATCAGCAAATTAAGAATTTTATCTTGAGTGATTATTGTAAATTGTGGAAAAGAAAGATTCATTTTTTTGCTTATTTCCTGTTTGTATTTCAAAGCTTTTGTGGTTTTATTTATTATTGATATTACTATTTAGGGCTGTAGACAAAAAGTTTGAGGACTGATAATTTTCATATTGTATATTATCAACATTTTCGATAGACTTGTTGGGAGTTAGATTCTAAAATGTCTCTGTTATATTGGCTTTAAGTTAACTTTAGATTTCTTCATTTACTTATGCTTTAATTTAATTACACATTTCTTTTAACTCGACTTGAATCATTTGCCTAGCTTTATCTACTTAAGAGGAATCTTCTTTTTCTTTTGCTTGCTTAATAATTTTTTGGGTAAGTTCTTCTATAAATTTTTATTGATCTTTAATTTTCTTTTAAAGTAGATTAATATCACTTTGCATTTTTTTTATAAGGACTTATTCTTATTAGTTTGGTTTAACTGAAAGAGAAAACAGTTTTTCTTGAAGACCTTTTATCTAGTCATTCTTTTCTTATAATTTCTTTTTAAGTTCCTAATTTTCTTACTCATAATAGCTCTAACTTATTCTTTTTTTCTTAAATTAACTACCTGCTATCTGTACTATTTCTTCACTATCTGAATAATCACCTTCCTCGTTATTTTATGTATTTAGTGTTTCTAAGTCCTAAGTGTATTGCTTGCTTCTATTTTAATTTAATAATAATTAATTATTTTTATATTTCATTTATAGGATAAAATTAATCTTAATAATTGTCATTCAGTTTATTAAAAGATATTACAAACTCCTTGGAAGGTTTTGGAATATGGTATTAGAAGAAATGAGTAATAAGTATCTATCAAATCGATTATGTAACATTTTTTGTGTCAGAAAATCTTGAAAGACCTTAAAAATAGTTTGTTCTAACCTATTAAACTTTAATTAAAGATGAATTTATGATTCTTACTTACTTAATGCGTTAATTATTAAGATAAAATTAGTTCGTTAAAAGAAAAATTGATTATCTATTGCTTGCCAAAAATACTAAGAAACTGTAATAGAAAATAAAAATCTTACGGATTTTGAAATAAATATACTATCAATTAGGGTAATCTGAGTTTCGAACCTGAGGAAATTAACAAAGAATGAAGAGATATATTTATGGTATTTTTATGCAAGGAAATTTAAGTCAAAATTTTTATTATTTTTGCAGAATGGTTCATTTTAAAACTAGCTATTTATTTTTTAAGACAGTACATCAATAACTTTTTCACTTTCCATGACATATGAGGGAAATATTGAAAAATAAGATTTGAGAAATTTAAAGGCTAAAGATTATGAACTCAAAAGGAGAAAAAAGTAGGATAATTATAGAAGCTCTACTGATACATTTAATTTTTTATAGATGTTAAAAAAAGGGATCAGTATACCTAATACTTTTTCCTTTGATTGTTTATAATCAATTTACAATTCATAAACTATTTCGAATATGCTAAAATTAAAAGCATTAGGAGCTATAAAACCCTTTTCTAAAGCTAATTAAGCTTGCTGTACTTTTTTTTACAAATCCTTATTGCTTTATAACTCTTTATTACTTTTTTAACATTGTTCCTAAAAGTCTTCATCTACTTCTTATCTATTTCAATGAAAAAATGTAAATAATCTATATTAAAATTAAATTTTCATTACTTATTTGTATTTAAATATCTCAACCAATTTAATCCTATTTAAGAGTCTTCTCCAAATACAAGCTGACACTATTTATTTTAATAACGAAAATCTATTTTAGAAAACGCTTTATAAATTTTAAAGTAAGCAATTTGTTTAAATGATGTTTATAAATTTCTTTAAGCTAAATATCCTTAAATGATTTTAAGAGTTTAAAATGCTTTATTATTTTTACAAGACTTGACGCTATTTTTTTTGTCTTTCATAATGATAATTTTACTATTTAAAATGCACTTAAAAGTGATAATTGCTTTATCATTTTTATAAATTACTTTTTTAATATATCCAAAATAAAGTTACCTTGCTTATTGTTCCTAAATTAACTTTCTACTCTTCTGCACACTTAACACATATTCTTCTTGGCTTTTTGTCTTACTTTAAGCTACCAGGTATCTAAATTATAATAAATTAAATTAGAAATTTAAAATTATGAAAGTTTTCGTTTAGAACATTTTTAATATAAATAGATTGCTTTTGAATGTTAATTAATTACTATACAACGATTTTAACCACATGGTTAGCAAATTGTCCTGTAACATCTCTTACAGTAGTAGCTCTTTTTAAATAACCCAAAGGAATAACTACAGATTTCACATTAGTTAGATTTGAATAATTAATCTTATAGAGAAATCTAGTATATTGTCCTATTAGCTACTTCCATTTATTAATGCTAATTTGTTTATTTTATACTTTTATTTACCAAAAAAACTGATAAAAATATATAATAATGTTATTTAGTATTTATTAAGTATAGGTTATCAAATTAATTATATTAACTATAAAAACAATAAGTTTCTATTGATTACTTCTTTTACATAGATATTAAATTAGTTAATTAACTAATTTAATATATCTAAATAGACTTTTTAATAAATAGATAATCTCCTATCTTATCAAAAAATATATCAAAATCAGTAATTAATTTATTTTACTCTACATTATTAAGCATTTTTCACTCTACTTTACCATTTTTTTGCAAAATAATTGTTGCTATTATAATTTTTTAATAATAAGTGTATTTTTTTATGAATATAATTGAAAGAGCTAAATTATTAATTGATGCTTTCATTTTTACAAAAGATAAACAAGTAAATTAATTTAATATAACTAGAATGCTATTTTATTCAACATGCCTAAATTAAATTATCATTGAGATAATTAACTTATAAAAATTTCAAAAATAATTTAACTAAAAACCAAAATATTTTATTTTACTTTTTCATAAATTAATTTAATTTAAAATCAATAAATAAAATTTTATTTTTAAAAAATAAATAAAGAAAGCTATTATGTAACAACTATCTATTTACAGTAAATATCTACAAATTTAATAAAACACATCTTCAAAAATATACTTGTAATTTTAAGAATTTGGTAAAAGCTGTATTTAAGAGGAAATAATATTTCCATAGCAAATAAAAGATGTAAAATAGTATCAAATAATATTTAAGTAATTAAACATTTTCAAGCCCTCTCACCTCACTTAAAACATAATATTTTTTTCTATTAAATAGGAAATAGGTTGTATTTTGGTCTCTAAAATATTTCTTATTTAAAATTATAATAAAATATCTAAAAAATAAAAGTAAAAATGTTAATTATTTAATTGGAATTATAATTTATAAAAATATGTGGCATAAATAAATTTTTTTTATCTTAATTTATTTGTATAAAACAAAGAGAAATAAAAAAAATTGTATTAGCCAATACTCATTTAAATAAGAAAATATAACATCTATAAAATAGAATAAATAAATATCTAAATCAATCATTTGATAACTCTAAGTGTTCTTTTAAATTTGCTTGAAGCTTACAAAATTTTCAACCAGCTACAAAATACATTTTTTATTTTATTATAGAAAAAGAACCTTTCATTTATATCAATAATTACAAACCTAATTAAGACTTTTATCTGATTGTTCAATTTTAGCATTCATTCATTAATTGCATAAAAGTTAAAAAATAAAGGAAAGAAATAAAAACCAATTGTATCTGAAAATTTATTATTATAAATGCTAAGTGCTTTAAGATTTATCAAAAGAATTGACATATTTGGAGCTGAAGTTGGATTAAAATATGAGGGACAAAATAAATATACATCAAGACTTGGAGGATTTGCAACTTTGATTGTAGGATGCTTAATTAGTGCCATATTTTATCAATAGTTCTACTAAATCTATAATAGAGTTAATTCAAATTTAATTTATGAGTAAAATTTTGTTGAAATACCAAGAAGATATAACCTAACTACCCATTAATTTAGTTTTATGATTGGACTTTAAGATTAAAATACTAATCCTGTTATAGATGAAGATATATTTACAATTGAAGCCATTTTTTAGTTTAAAAAACCTATTGTGTAAAATGGTACAACAACTTATGAATTAGTAAGTAATAAAGTTCCAGTGGGGCCTTGTACAGAAGATGATTTTTAAGTAGAAGATATTAAAGGTTACTTTCTCAGCTAGCCTTATTAAAAATATTATTGCTTAAAAAATTAAAATGAACTTTATCTTGAAGGGTAATTTGATCAAAATTTTTTTTCAGTTCTGTAATTTAAAATTTCTGAATGTATTGATAAACCTAGTTGCAAGTCACCTGATATAAGATAATAGTTTATAAAAACTTCTTATGCATAAATCTATTATACAGATAGAATTGTATAAACTCAAAATTTTGAGTAACCTTTTAAAAATGTTGGCAAAACTTAATACTATAACATTTTTTATGATTATCTTTAGTAAAGTAGTTTTGTTTTTACAAATACTAAAATTTCAGATGACATAGGTCTACTAGTTGAGTCTTTGAGTATTTAAACACAGCTTTAGTTTGTGAATGATCGCTATTAACTTTAATCTAAAACTACAAATGAATTTTTTGAAATCTCAATATACTTAGATAAAAATAAAGAAAATAGCTATTACAGATCTTACAAAAAAATTCCTGAAGCACTTTCTCAATTGGGAGGAAATTTTTAAGTATTATTTTTTTTAGGTTGTTTATTTATCTAGCCATACAACTTACTCAAACTTAAAAACAGACTTCATAAAGATATATTTTCAGTAGAAAATCAAAATTTAAATAAAAAAGAATCATCTCCAAAAAGCAACAAAAAGAGAAAAAATTCATCTTTTAATTTCAAAGCATAAAGTACAATTTAAAATATTATAAATTAGTCTTAACTTGATTACATTGATGAGGAAAAGATACCAGATTAAGAATCAAATAAATTTTAATTTATAGAAAAACTAAAAGAGTTTTTGGGAATCGTACCATAGTATATTAAGCAGTAATACTAAGAAATAGAAAATATGAGGAGTATTAAAACAATAATCAATACTTAAATTTAGTTTATCTTTCTCAAAAATTTATTTTATTAAATAGATTTTTTAAAAATTAAGTTAATAAATCAATAATCTTAAGTTTTTGACAATAAATCAAAGAATCTCATAGAAACCTGCTCAAAAGAAAATATATTTTTCAATTAATCTAATATTTTTAAATAATACAATAATCAGTCCTTCAGCAATTTGAAAATGTTAAATATAAATGACTTTAACATTAAAAATGATAAAATAGCTGATATGACAGTTCATTCTCTAATAAAAAATGAGGAGGATAACAGTAAATTTTTTAGTAAATAGAATTCTCCTCTATTACGTGATATCGGTTCCTCTAAGAAAGATGATGTAAGTCCTGAGATTTCATCTAAATAGTTTAAATTGTCTTAAAATTTTGATTAAAATCAAGAAAAAAACAAATCTGAGATTGATGTAGAAAGTCAAAGTCCCTCTATCTAAGATCTAGAAAGCTACATAAAAATATTTAATTCGATTAAAAGTTTAAATAAAAATTAATTTTAAAATTCAATAGGTTAGTTAAATAGTAAAGACATAAAAAACAATTAAAGTACAAATTAAAAATAAAATTAATGAATCTCAATTATATATATACTCTTAATAAACTAATTTATATTTTTATAGTGTGTTTTTTTTATTTCAAATTACATATAACTAGATATTGCAATATAATATTTTAAGATCTGCTTCGAAAAATTGTTCACTCTAATTCAGTCTAAATATTTTTTCCTTAATAATAAAATATCTTCAAAAATTAATAATTTGATTGATTTGGAGTAAATATGGTATTTATAATATTTATTTTTTAAATAAAAATTTTAATATAAAATACTTAAAAAAATATTTTAAAACAAAATCATTGATAAATTTACTGATTTATCAACATATTTATGTTTAAATTCCTGCAGAATGTAATTTTACTAAGGATAAATTTAATTTTATTATTGAAATTTATTATTAAAATGGTATTCCTATTATTTATGATAATATATTTACTATTGAGGCTTACTTTTCATATAAAGTATAGACTATATAAAATGATACAGTCATTTATGATTTGATAGTGAAAAAAGTTACCACTTAAGCTTGTATGGCGCATGATTTTTAAATAATGGATATTAAAGTTTATTTCATGAGTTAACCTTACTAAAAATACTATTGTTTAATAAATTAAAATGAGCTTTATCTTGAAGGTTAGCAAGAGCAAAAGATTTTTTAGCTCTTGGTTTTAAATTATTGAATTTACAGATAAACTTAATTGCAAACTGATTGTTATAGGATAATAGTTTTTCAAAAATTCTTATGCATACATCTTTTATACATACAGTATTTTAAAAATTCATAACTTTTAGAAACCTTTTAAAATTATTTGTAAAACTTTATTCAATAAGATTTTTTATGATTATTTTTAGAGTAGTTTTATTTTTTATATTACTCATATTTAAGATGACACAGGGCTATTTTTAGTCTTTGAAAACTTAAACATAACTTCAATTTATTAGTGATATATTAGTTAATAATTTTAGTCAAATATATCAAGCGAATTCTTTTATTTAGAAATTTATTTAAATAAAATAAAGAAAATAGCTATTAGATCTAATAATAAAATTGCTGAAGTTTTTCTCAATTGGGAGGGAATTTTTAAGTACTTTTTTAGGATGTGTTTTAATAAACCTCAAAATTTATTAAAGCTTAAAAATAGATTTCGCAAAGAAAACAAAATCTAAATAAAAAAAAATTTCCAAAAAGAGTAAAATAATAGAATAAATTCAGTGTTGTCTGATAAAAATGAGTAAAGTAAATTTAATTTTTTATTATATTTATAAGGGAAAGAAAAAAATGTTATTGGAAAAGTAAAGGAATTAATTAGAAAAATAAAGTAATTTTTTAGAATGATTACCATAGCAGTATGTAACACAATAATAATAAGAAATAGAAAATATTAGAAGCATTAAAACTATAATTAATTATAAAATTTAGTTTAACTTTCTCAAAAATTTATTTGATCTAATGTATTTATTTTTCAAAAATTATGTTAATTATATATCATGCAAACTTAAGTTTCAGATAGTAAGTAAATCTTATTTTCCTAGATAGTAGGGCAAAAGAATATTTAATAACCTTAATAAACAATATAGTAATTAATTTGTAAGCTATTAAAAAACAAAAAATATAAATGACCTTTTCATAAGTAGTAATAAAATAGTTGATTTTGAGCGCTATTCTCTATCAAAAAATGAAAAAAAGTAGTAAAGTTATAAATTAAAAGAATTCTTTAATTTTACGGGATAATTTTGCTATAAGAATTATGACAGAATTGAATAAATTAAATAAATAGTTAAAAATATCTCAAAATTTTGATTAAGGATAAGAAAATAGAAAATCTGAAATCAATATAAAAAGCAAAAATCCATCTATTAGATTTAAAAAGCTACATGAAAATATTTAATTCAATTAAAATTAATCTAAAAATACAAATAGATTATCTAAATATACTAATTATAAATAGAAATTAAAGCTGTATGAGAGAAAACTAAATTAAATTAATAATTTGTATGCATTTATTATAAAAAAATATTCTTTGTTTAACTTCAAATAATTAATCTATTTATTTCCAAATACTCGCAAAACATCACTTTCCTTTTTTTAATTGTCAAAAATAGAATGAAAAATTTATCAAAATGTTAATCAGTCTTTTTTTTAAATTTTGTCAATTTTTTGTTTTCATAAATAAATAAAAAAGAATTAATATGTATGACATATTATTTAAATAACTTAATAATTTAACTGAAAATTATAAAATTGCTATCTCCTTCTTAAATTCCACAATTATTGTCTTTAACATCAATTTTACAAATAATTCTTTTTAATTTTTTCTAATGTTCAAAACTTAAAATTTTTATTTATTATAAATTTATTATAATTAGAGGAAAAGTATATTATCCATAAAAACAAAATTCATTTTTTTATTTCAAAATATTAGATTTTTTATTTGTATGCGTTTATGGTTATGACAAGTTATTAAATTTAATGAGTAGCTATAAAAAATTAGCTCTATCGATTTATATAAATTACTATATTTAATTAAGAAATAATTAGTAAAAAAAAAGTAGAACCAAAAAAGAAAGAAAGAAATCAATAAAGATTAATTGAAATGAAAACGGACGCGTTACTCGGGTTTATATCAAAGATCGACATTTTTGGTGCTGAAGTAGGATTAAAGTATGAAGGAAAGAGCAAATATACTTCAAGACTTGGAGGCTTTGCAACTATTATTGTAGGTGGATTACTTTGCGCATTGTTGTATCAATAATTTTATTAAATATTTGGTAGACTAAATCCTAATCTAATTTACGAGCAAACATATGTTTAGATACCTAGTAGATATTCTCTAAGTAAGGATTAATTCAATTTTATGATTGGACTTTAAGACTAGGATGGTAACGCTTATTTAGATGAGGATATTTTTACTGTAGAGGCTTACTTTGAATACAAAGAATAAACTAATTAAAACGGGAAAGTTGTTTCAAATTTTATAGTCAACTAAATTCCTACTGGGCCTTGCTCAGAAGATGACTTTTAAATGATAGACACTAAATAATATTTTTTGAATTAGCCTTACTAAAAGCAGTACTGCATAAAAGGAAACAATGATCTTTACCTGGAAGGGTAATTTGATTAAGATAAATTTTCTGTTCTTATTTTCAAAATTATTGAATGTACTGATAAACCAAATTGTAAACCAGCTAATTTAAGATAAGAAATTCTTAAAACATCAAACGCTTAAATTTATTACATAGATAGAAATGTATAAACATAAAACTTTGAAAAGCCTTTTAAAAGCGTAGGTAAAACTCAATTTTACAATATCTTTTATGATTATCTTTTGAAAAGCAATTTCATTTTTTCTAATACACATGTGTAGGACGATATAGGTTATTTTGCTGAGAATTATTAAACTTAGACATAACTTTAATTTGTAACAGATCGCTATCAGTTATAGTCAAAAACTACAAATGAATTCTTTAATATTTCACTTTTCTTAGACAAAAATAAAGAAAATAACTATTTTAGAACCTATTAAAAAATTACTGGGGCACTTTCTCAGTTAGGAGGAACTTTTCAAGTATTGTTTTTCTTTGGTTGCTTATTTATTAAGCCATATAATTTACTTAAGCTTCAAAATAGACTTCATAAAGATATATTTTCATAAGAAAACCAAAGTTTAAATAAAAAAGAATCTAATTAAAAAGAAAAAAAAAAGAGAAGTTCTATTTTCAACAAAAAGAGCTCAATGAAAGTTTCAAATGCTCATAATTATTTGTAAGATGCTAAGAATGAAAAGAAAGAAGAAAACTAATTTTAAATTGAAGATGAAGATGAAAATGAATCTTCTTACCTTAGAAAAATAAAATAATTCTTTGGGTTTGTTTCTTAAAATGTAAAGTAGTAAATGCAAGAAATAGAAAATATGAAAAGCATCAAAACAATTATGAATACTTAAATTTAGTTTATTTTACTCAAAAACCTATTTTATCAAATAGATTTTTCTAATATTAAATAAAATAAAGATTTATCTTAGACTTTTGATAGTAAATCTAAAATATAAGGTGATGGTCGTTAGAGAGAAAATAGTATCTTTAACTCTTTTAATTTTAATAAATTGCAAAAAGACTAATCAATTATAAATTTAAAAGCATTTAACTCAAGTAAATTTAATTTAAATGATTTCACCCCTCAATCTCCTCAATCCCCTTCAAGATTTTAAGATGAAAGCAAATATTTTAGTTAAATAGATTCTCCAAAATTACAAGAAAGCTGTAGCTAGAAAAATGAAGACTAAATTATAAATACATCAAATGACAAAAATATATTATCTCAAAATGAGGAATAAAAATAAGAAAACAGCAAATCAGATATTGAAATTGATAATTAGATTGATTGTGTTAAAAAAATAGATAATTATATACAAAATTTTAATTTAATTTAATCTAAAAATTGTAATTCAGTTGCTTTAAAAAAAAATAGCAGTAATTGTTAAGATGAAAGTTATTAAGATTAAAAATAAGATAATTGAATTAAAATTATTATAATTATTTTAGTAAAAATATATAATTAATTATTTATTGTGACAAGCTAATTTAATACTTTCAAAATTTTTATTATTTGGATTTTATAAATACTTTTTTGAAAAAATTTAATCTATTATATTTAATTTGAAAAAGCAAAATTAAAATTTAGCAGAATTTAAAGTTTATAAATTTAAGATTAAAAAAATACATTTTATAAAAACGATTTTAAACAAAAAATACACTTTAAAAAATTTTAAATGTTGTTATTATTTATTTAACTGTACAAAATCAGAAAATTAAATTTACTAAAATGAAAAATGAATTCATAAAAAAATTCAAGTTATTAGAAACACATTTTATCAAGTTATAATTAATTTGCAAAGTTACCTAAGATGGTAACTAAAAATAATATTTCTAATTTTTGTATGTATTTGAATCAAATAGAACCTATTTAACTAGGTTCAGCATAATGGTTATGAATAGATAAATGAATACATAAAGCTTTTCTTTTTGTTAATTTTTTTTTCTAAAAAATATTAGATATTGCTAATTAAAAACAAACTTTTTAAAAAAGCTTACCAAAAAAAGACAACAACTCTATCTTTATTTTTTAAAGCGCTGTAAGAGGTGATTAGATAAGAATAAAAAGAAACTAATAAAATCAATAGTAGATTTGCCAAAATAAGATCATTTTTGAAGGAAATAAAGCAAATTTAATTATATTAAGGACATTAAGCTAGTTGTCTATAGTGGAAATAAAATAAATAATCATTGTATTTAATACTTAAAGGTAATACAATATTCTTAAAGCACATTTTTGTTGAATATTTTTAGATAATTCAGATTGTATTTATTTTCCAGTATCATTAGCAATTAACAAGAAATAACATATTTCGTAAGCAAATACAGATATCATTCAGCATAATTAAAATAATATAATAGTATTCTAATAAAAAATAAAAATAAATTGTTTGAGATTGTAATACAATTTTTAAAATATTTTACAATTTTAGATAAGGAGTTAAGAGCTATAGTTATTTATGTTTAGGTCTATTATAATCATTAAATTTATCTTTTATTTAATCGTTAGGGAATAAATAGTAAACAAAAAGGGAAGTCTTTAAGAGCAAAAAGTAAAAAGAAGAAAATAAATAGCAGTTTAGTTTTTAAATATATAAAGAAGAAAGTAGATTCTGTTGATTTTTTCATAAAATATCACTGAAAGCATCTTGCATTTTTTATAGTTGTTGTGAATCAGTAAAGTTAAACTGATTAAATCAATTAAGATATATTAGCAAGCCTTAAAATAGCAGTAAAATATAGAAAAATACATATATATTTAGATTAAATGAATACAAACAATCGATAGTAAAGATCTGAATCTGATAAAGAAAAAGCACGTTTGATGAATGGTGTAGATATCAATTCAGAAAAATAGGAGCACGAAGACAATAAGCGATAAATAGGATCATGTGTTTCTGATTTTACTATAGTGAAGGAATTAGGTAGAGGTTCGTATGGTGTAGTGTATAGAGCAATATCTAATATCAACAAAAAAGAGTATGTAGTGAAGAAAATAAATATCAAACACATGAGTAATAAGCATTAAAAAGAAGCTCTTAAGGAGGCGCAAATTCTACGTAAAGTCAGACATGAAAATATTATCAGATACTACACTTCTTTTGTAGAGCATGATTGTCTTTATATAGTGATGGAATACGCAGATGGAGGTGATCTTTAATAAGTTAATACATAAATATTATTTCTATTATTCTATGGTTCAAATACATTTTTAAATATCAATTCAGTAATTCTTAAATCATGCAAGCCATTATATTTATTATCCATTGTTATTAGGATGATACTTTGATCTGAAAATCACCAAAAAAATAATATTTCTAAAAAAAAGTTACAGCATCATCAATTAAATTTATTGTATTTTGGATTACCTATCGCTTGCTAATTAATTTAAATGAATAATTAAAAAATTTTTCACTGAAACTGATTAATAAATGTAAATAATTTTAAAAAAATAGCTTCTTAGATATCGTAGAGAGAGAAAAAAATAGTTTACCGAAACAGAAATATGGGAATTTGCTTATGATTTGATTAAAGCAGTTGATTATTTGCATAAAAATAATATAATACATAGAGATATCAAGACATTAAATATATTTCTCACTAAAGATAGAAAAGTCAAGGTAAAAATTCTATCAATTTGACTGATTTAAATTAAACTAATTGATCGTTTTCAATTATAATACATTGCTAATTTTTATATTTTAATAGGATTTATTTATTTATTTTTCATTTTTGTCAAAAGAAATGAAAAGGAATTTTTTGTAGATTATTTTATCTATATTTAGATTTATAATTTAATTTCACTTTATTCAAAACTCAAACAATTAAATAAGCTATTAAAACTTCTTCTTTTAATAGTTAGGTGACTTAGGTGTCTCTAAAATAGTATCAAGCCAAGCTGCATTGTAAGGAACTAGAGTAGGTACTCCTCTGTATCTTGCTCCTGAGCTTGTTAAATAGTAACCATACGATTTTAAAGTAAATTAATTAATAATTTATAATTAGTTAAAATCAATAATTTTAAAATAATTAGGTAGATATTTGGGCAATTGGAATAGTGCTATATCACATTAGCGGTAATTTATTTATTTTTTTAATAAGTACTTATTTTAAAATGTTAATAAAATAGCTCTTGAGCCACCATTTTAAGGAGAGAATTTAATTGCTTTAGGGTTTAATATAGTCCATAAATTTCCGAAGCCATTGCCAAGTGTTTATTCTCCAAAACTTGTTAGCTTTATTAATAAGCTGCTAGAAAAGAATCCACTTTAGCGTCCAAAGACATCGGAATTAATTGAAACATTTCCTAAAAAGAGTGAAAGACCCATGACGGGATAACCATAAAATTCTAATTCTTGGTAAAATAATGCTCTAAAAAACTCTTCAAGCTAGGTTATCAATGATAAGATTGAAGTATATGATAAGGGGAATTATAATATGCTAAATAGAATTATAGAAGAAGATTAAGAAATGGCTGCAGCATTTCAACACAAGATAGATAATAATAAAAGATCTTTAGAATTAAATGACTTTGATAATAAAATACAGGGTCAACCATCAGTATTACCTTATCATATGAGAAGACCTTAAACAAGTGTTGGTAGAGATAAGGAAAAGCTGTTATATTAGCAAAGAATGTAAGAAAATATTAACAACGAATATAATAATCTAAATGTTAAATCATACAAAAATAATGCAAATTAAATAGATAATTAACAAGACTTAAAAAACCAATTTAATGAGGATTTAACTGATCCTAGAAACAACAAATAAGCGAAGCAAATTGATAGGAGTGATTCTTCTTCTTCTTCCTCATCAAATTATCATAATATCAATAATAATGCTAATCGAGAGGTATTAGTTATGGGTAATAATAATGCTGCTTCAACTTCAAACAATAATAATATAGGGAGATATTTAAGTAAAAACAAAGAGATAATGACTTATAATAAAAAAAAGATGTCGTTGATTACTGACAGCAGTATACTTAATGATGATAAAAAGAAGAGTGGTAGTACACGTTAGTCAACTACTTAACAAGGAATTAATTACTAATCTAACAGCAACAGTCAAGCAACCAACGATGAAAAGAAATAAAATTAAAATGAAGATAAAAAACTGAAATTAGATTTATAAACATAACAGTAACAGTCTTATTTGCCTACCCACAAAGTAAACTCTTAAAGCCAATAAATTTAAAAATCAAATCAAATTTTAAGCTCATAACACTCTCCATTGGAGAATCCTTTAAATTCACATAGAGTTTTAACTTAAGCTACAGAAAAATAAGCAGAAAAAAACTATAGTAGTAATAACAATAATGTTTCAGGCGGAGAGTTTAATCAAAAAGCTAATTAATACCATGTTTAAGGTAAATCTTAAAATAAAAATAAAAATGATGAGTAGGAATTGGAACAAAAAAAGAGGATTTAGAGCTCTCTAGATGAAGGTTTAATGGTATAAGAAAAAATAAAATAGAGCAAAGAAAACACTCCTGGAAATAGTTAAAATAATAAAGATATAAAAGCTTCTCTTGAATAAAAGTAAAAAGATACAATAAACCATCCTCAATAGTAGTAGTAGTAGTAGTAGTAGTAGTAGCAGAAATTGATCTCTTAGCCTAGTAATTTAAAGGACACAAAAGAAACAAAAGAAATTAAAGAATATCTTAAAGATATTAACAGTAATAATAATATAAACAATAATGCTTCTAATAAAAATAATGAGATTAAAGGTCAAAATCCTTTAGTTGCTTATTTCAATATCAGCAAATCAATGAGTGATAATTTACAAAGTAATTTTAAAATTCGTCCTTTTTCAGCATAAACGAAACCTAGATAAAATGAATTAGCTAAAAAACCAGAAGTTAATAATTTTATTAAGAATGAAATGATTTCAAGCTAAACTAAAGATGCTATGAAATTGGAGTAAATAATCAAAGAATTTAAATAGGAAGCTCAAAAAATTAGAGAGGCACCACTAATTATTTACTCAAATGGTTAAAATCAGCCATAAACTACTCCTAAGGATCATAAAAATTCAATCGAAACTAAAAAGAACGATAAAAATACTAATAATGGGCCACATTAGAGTTCTTCAACTCAGTCTAACAAAAAAGAGCCTTCCAACCAGTAGTCACAATAAAATAAAAATGTGAACTAAAATGATATTAAAACAGAAAACAAAAGGAAAGAAGACAATAATTTAGGAAATGAAAATGTAATCAGACCATAGTCAGCTCATCCTTTAGTAGGAAATAGATAGAATAAAGTCTTTAATTAGTTTAATAACAGATATGTATCACCAAATTAATATATAGCAGGATTCAGTAGTCCGTTCTAGAGCAACCCAAATACAAATACATCTCATAAATCTATTGTAAATAATTTTATTAAAAACAGCATAGGCAAAATGAACAATAATGTTATTATAGATCCTGTAACTAAACCATAAAAAGGTAAATTATATTGGAATAATCTAAGCAATTTATTGATTTATTTTTTACTTTTATAATAAACAGATTAAAACTAAAATTAAGAAAATGATAAAAATTACTTCTTTTATAGAATTGACAACGTATAAAGAGATTTTAATGAAGAAAGTAAGTTTTTATTCAAAAATAAATAAAATATTAATTTTTAAAACCAAATAATAAAAGTAAATCCTTAATCTACCAAATCTAGTTCATAAAAAATGGATTTAACTTCAAAGATTAAATCAGCAACTTCTACCAATTTTTATAAGGAATAATCTTAAATGACCGTAAGTGTTAAGGGAGGAAATTCTTAAAATCTTGATAATCCACAATAACAGTAAAATAAAGAAAAGTAAAGTTAAGGAAAAGTTTTAGTATTAAACAATGCTCGCCCATAAACTTCAACAGGTGTAAGAAAAAAGTATACAATTAAAGATTTAGTATCTGATTAACATGTATTTCGCACTAACTAAGTAGTGAGTCAATGATTTTATTTGATATAAATCACTAAAAGATATTATGTTAAGTTTATTTAATGGAAAACTTTACTAAGTTTAACATCAAAAAAACATAATAGATAAATTAAAAAACTAATAAATTATCTAAAATAGTAATGATATTTTATAGTTAAAATAAAGAACAAAATAGATCATACATAGATAGATACATACTTACATACATAATCAAAAAGCTAATATATAAATAAACACATAAATTTTATAAAAATTATATAATAATAAATCAATACTAAATTCTAAAGTAATTTTCTTAATTTAAAAAATAAACTCTTAAAATAATTAATAAAATATGAATAAATCTATCAACTCTTAATTCAATTTTATTATTCTTAAAGCAAAGAAAATAAAAATATGATTGATTTTAGCTCTAAAATTTTAGAACTAAATCGCTTTAAATAAATAAATAAATGAATTTGTTTTACCTGTTTTATATTAAGTAAGATCTACTTTTCTACTTTTCTTTCACCTTTCAAACCCTAATTAATAATTTTATTTTCATTATATTTTACTATCAATTTTCTCTTGATATAAGAAAATCCCTAATTATTTAAAACATTTAGAACATTTGATTTAAAAAATTTTTTTATTTTAATGATTCCTAAAATTTAATTTAAAATTACATAATTAAAAAAATCTTCTTAAAATAATTAATAAAATATGAATAAATCTATCAACTCTTAATTCAATTTTATTATTCTTAAAGCAAAGAAAATAAAAATATGATTGATTTAAGCTCTAAAATTTTAGAACTAAATCGCTTTAAATAAATAAATAAATGAATTTGTTTTACCTGTTTTATATTAAGTAAGATCTACTTTTCTACTTTTCTTTCACCTTTCAAACCCTAATTAATAATTTTATTTTCATTATATTTTACTATCAATTTTCTCTTGATATAAGAAAATCCCTAATTTTTCAAAACATTTAGAAAATTTGATTTAAAAAATTTTTTTATTTTAATGATTCCTAAAATTTAATTTAAAATTACATAATTAAAAAAAATCTTTTTTATGATACTCAAGTAGAATGCATTTAATTTTATTTTAAGATATTTAACTAATATAATTTAATTTATGTTTGAGTTTAGTATTAAGAAAAAAATAAAATAAAATGGTGTGTTATCTCCTAAAAAATTTATTGGAATTAATATTTTTGTTTTATAAAGTAAAAAATTGTACAATATAAAAGACAATAAATATTTCCAATAATTTATTAATTTATTTATGCCTTTCTTATTTTAGAATATTTATTTATAAATAAATATATTAGGAAAGTAAGTTTATTATGAAGTACAAAACAAAAATTTTTAAGGGAATTAAATATTTATTGAGATGATTTATAAACACTAAATTATATATGAAATATATTAATTACTATTTATTATTTATTTAATTAATTTATTTACTTATTTAATTAATTGGTAATAAATTATTAAACTATTTTTATATAAATATATACATATTAAATTATTTATTTATTTATTATTATTTACTTTAATTTTGGAAAAAAATTAAAATTTCAAAAATTATCATCAGATATATCCATTAAATTTTCTTCATTTTGATCATCACTAAATCCTTAATTTATTTCACCATTTGTGTTACTATTTTTGTTGTTGTTTTTAGATTACTATAAATCGTTTAAATAATTATCATCTATACCATCTTCATCATCAGATCCATTTTTAAATTTATTTAATTCTATGTTTAATTGTTTTGAAAGGAGGTTACTTTGTAAAACACCTATTTTAATTGTCATCGATTTAATTTCGGTCTTTTTAAAACAAATAATTTATTAATATAAAACATTTGAAATTTGTAATTTACTTTTATTTTTTATATTGCATCTTTTATTTTATTAGTTTAATCATTTCCTGTAATCAATTTCTCTCTCTCTACTATTTCTTTTTTAACTTTTTCATATTGTTCATTCATGCTATCGAAATTCTAAATTTAGCTTTTTACTTACTCAGACTTTTACTCTAAATCCAAAAGAAATTTCTTTTTACTTTGCACTTTTTCTTTAAGCACATTTATGCTATCAATATTTCCTTAGTTAATCCTTTATTCTCCTTTTTCAATTTAATCTAGCTAGTTTTACCAGTTTGTGATTATCTTATTAACAAAAGGTTCTTACAAAATTTATGCCTGCATATTCATTCCCTTTGATACAATTTTATTTTATTATTCTTTTATAAAAGTAAAAATTAATAAATACTCTCTAAAATTTTTAAAGACGATTCAAGTTGTTGATATAGTCGTTTTCGTTAATCTATGCAGTTATTTCATTTTTCTTAATTTTTAAATCAAAGTTTTATAGCTCTGTAGTGACTCTAAGACATTCTTTTTACCACTCTAGTGGATCAACATTCGAGATAATCATTTCTCTATCTTCATCTATTATTTTTTTATAATCATAAGCCTCTTCTCCATTTTACCGTTTATTATATTACCCATTTAATAAATCTCCTTATTCTTCTTCTCCGACAATAGAATCTTCATCTTATATATCCTCCTCTTCAATCATATACTCATTTAAATCAGGATCTTATAAAACTCCATTTTCTGTTTCTTGCTGTCCATTCTAAACATCAGTGTGCTTAGGATCTTCAAATTTAAAATTTAATCTAATTAATTCTCTATTTAATATATCGTTTAATATGAAACAGACTGTATCACCATATCCCTGTTTTTTTTAAAAATAAATTGTAAAATGAATTAATTTATTGTTTATTTTTAAATAAGCATTTATCATATTTCAAAACTTTTTCGTTTATTTATATTTTTTGATGTAATAATTATTGTTAAAATCTGTTTGAATCCTTTAAAAAAATTACATTTCTAATGTGTTAGACATTTAAAGAGTCTGGAAGTCTGAGCCCCCATTTTTTAAGATCGAATAATAACTATTATGCACACTCATCAACAGATTCCCAGTTTCCAAGAGATTTTAATTTTAATGCTGCTTATATTTTATTTTTTTTATCATACTAAAAAAAAATGAATGAGCATTAACATAATTAATTACAAAATAAAGTAAGTAAATTTTTTTAAATAAGAAGTTACTTTTTATATTGACATTATCCAATAGCATAGCTCTGCAAAATAGAAGAATTTCTTATTATTTTGAGCAGGAGTTTAATCAGATATTGAAAAAAACACTTTTGAAACAGGATCTCTGTGCATAGGTTTGCAAAAAAAATTATGATACTCCAAAAGAGTAAGTTTTTCATATATATCCTCATTAACCTGTTAAATTATTTAAAAGTAATAAATAAATATTTAATTATTATAAAAATATTCAATCATTTATTTACTAAAATACAATCAATCTTTGGGTTTTTCTTTAACTAATTAATTTTTTTTTCGCATCTTTGCAAAACAACTTCTGTATCAATTCTTTTAGTAGGGTCTACCACTATCATATCATCTATAATTTATTATAAATCTTCACTATATCTCTTACTTATTTGCTTATATTCTCCTATTTTTTTTATTTATTGTTTAAATCTTTCATCATTTTTATTATTATTTTTTTACCTTTCGTGATATTCTAAAATAAATCCATTAAACTCATTTTATCATTTTCATTTCTGAAAGGACTTTTAAATTCACTCAACTCATAAACAATACAGCCTAAACTCCAAACATCACTTTTCATGTCATAACCCTCGCCATGTAAAAGCTTTTAATTAAAAATAAGTTAATTACCTTTTACTAAAAATTAAAAAAGACAACTACAAAAATTAAATATTTTTCTTGAAATAGATAATTTATTTTAAAAATATTATAAGCAATTTTAAGTTTAATTATTTTTTATCTTATTCAAGCTAAATTTTTTGTATCATTAAAAGCTAAATAGGTCTGTAGCATTATTTTATCATTTGGTATTATTTTTTATGAACATTTTTAAATTTAAAAACGCTTCAAAAATAAATTTATTTGATATATTTTTATTTAATGAGCTATTTTTTAGCACTATTTCTAATCCTATTCATATTCATTGTCACTATGTTATATGAAATATATTATAATTATTAAATAAATACATACCTCTGGACTCATATACAAAGGTGTACCTACTTTAGAATAAACTTCAATAGTTCCTGAAGAAAATTCTCTACCTAAACCTAAATCTCCTACTTTTAAAGTGTCATCTTGAGCTATAAATATATTGGCAGGCTTTAAATCCCTATGCATGATTCTTTTTTCGTGCATATGATTTAACGCAGAAGCAATCTATTACATATATTCCCATATTTTTAACTCCTCAAAAGGAGTTTCTTCTTGCTATTACATTTTAATTAATCGCTTTAAATCGCCCTTTTCTGCCCATTCTGTAACAATAATCAATTCGTTATTATGTATAAAGGAATCTATATATTTAATTATATTAGGGTGATCTAGTGGCTTCATCAATCCAACTTCTTTTAAACATTTCTCACGCTATTTAGGATCCATCATGTCAAATATCTAATAATTTAATTGTTAAAATCGTTTACTAAATACTTTTTTTAATCTTTGAAAGTTATAATAATTCATATACTAAAATTAAATACAAACAGAATGATGCATAAATTATCTAAAAAAACTAATTTAAAATAAAAAATTATTTCAGCTTTTAAAAAAAAACATTTTTCTAATCTCATTTTAGAATAATAACTAAATATGTTATTTGTTTTTGCTAATAAAAGAGTCACATAAATCATAATGCCAAATTTTGTTTACCTTTATCTTTTTCAATGCAAAAACTTATTTATTTGCAGTTTCAGCTTTATAAACGGTTGAAAATTTGCCTTAACCTATTTTATTATAAAGAAAACGCTAGTATTTAAGTTAATTATCTATTTTTATTCTATGAAATAATGATGAATTTTAACTAAATGCTTATTCCGTAAACAAATTATTTAATATTAATGACAGTAAGTGTAATATTAAATCATTGTTTGAATTATAAATGTATATCATATATTGTTTTACCTATAGGCTTCGATACAGTATATCCTTAAATCTCCTTTCCAGTAAACTCCTGAATGTCTTTACTCATTTTTTAAAGTTTTTAATATTTTACTGGTTATGCTATGACTACTTTTAACTATATTTATACTACTCGATCTGCTTAAAATATTTGTTTGTTTACACAAAATTCTAAAATTTAGATAAAAGCTATTTAAAGATAGTTAATCAATTTGATTTTTATTGTTTTGAATTTTTTAAATTATTAATACTATCCAGCCAAATACTATACAAACTTATTAACTAATTAAGAAAAAGATTTTTCTAAGTTATAAATCTAAATATATAAATTAAAATCTTTATCTAGCACTATTATATGTAATTATAATAATTCAAAATAAAGCCCTTCTAATTTTATATGTAAAATATCAATAAATTTTTTATAAAAAAAAAAAATAAATATTTTATGAATATTATTGGGTATAAATTTCTGAAAAAACAGATTAATTAATAGAAATAAAAATCTAGATTAAATCACATTAAAATAATATTTTATAAATTAAAAATAAATTATTTATTTGTTAAATTTATAATTAAATTAAATTTTATATAAATAATTATATTAAAAACAACGATTATGCACATACTAAAATTTACATAGATCATCTATATTTTTTTTCTAAAAAACATAAAATATTGTTGATATTTTTATAGATCAAATTCAAATTTTTTAAATTTTATGATTACTTATTTATTTTTATATATTTATAATATTTAATTTTTATTAAGTTTGAAAATTAAAATAATAATTTAGATCACTTGTAGTTACTTCTTGATGTAGGAGTGTTAAGATTAGATTAAATTGGTAAAGTTGAATTCATTTCTGCATCAACATCAATATCACCTAAAATATCTTCTTTATAATCAATCTCACCTAGTACAGGTACTGTATTACCAAACTCATCATAAGCGGTAGGACGTGCTCTACTTAATAAACTACTAATTAAAGGAATAGAAAATAATAAGAAAGGAAAGCTGAGGATTGCATACAACCATTTACAAAAGTAAATAGTACCTTTAGCTTCTTAAAAATTTGTTCTGTCTTCCTTTTAGAAGTTATAATAGAAGAATGAAAAAGATAAAGAAAACATAACAATATCCCAAATAATTAAGAATTTCATATGACCACCACGGTCCAACACACAAAATTTCTTCTCTTCTTCTTAACCTTCAAGATCATCATATTATTTCAAATTATATTCTTCAACAAAATCACTGAATTATGCATTTTCACCTTTCTTCTTCTTCTTTTATACTTTTTCTTCAATCTTTTTAACTAGTTTTTCTCTTTCCTTTTTACGCTTTTCCTTTTCCTTACCAATCTTTTCCTTTTCTTTTTGATATTCTTTATCAGCTATACGGAATCTGAGCTAGCCTTTTTACTCAGAGAAGGGGAGGAAAAATAATACAATCCATGTTAGAATCAAATGAATACCAAAAGAGATTAAATCTATTCTCACGTGTATGAGACTACCTGGTCCATTTTCATGGCAATTTTATTATACTGACAAGTTGAAATGCTTAGTTTAATCTACACAGTAGAAATAAAGATAAAACCCAACAAATCCTCCAATTAACCCAAAAGCAAAGAATTAGAATCTCTTAAATGAAAGAATAAAATTAATCAGCTGATATTCATCACTCTTATCAATTATTAAGAATAAAAAAATAAAGTAGAAGCTATTAACTCCATAGAATGGGCAGAGACTTGCTATAGTTTAAATTAACCACAATGGATTTTTGATATTTTAACCTAAAGTTTTATTGTGAGGCATTACTGAGTATTGGATACTATTTTTTTAAATAATATGTATAATTAAAAATATTAACTAATTTAATCATTTAAAATGATTGATTTTAATTTTTAATTACTAGAACAAAAATTTTTATTATAAAAAATAAGATAATTCTTGAATTAGATGAAGAAATATTATTCATTGATAAGTGAAGCAAACAGTAAAAATCATTTAGTTTCCTTAAATTTCTTTAAAACTAAATTATGTAAATTTTTATAAGTACCATTTTTTACTTGTAAACTAGTTTAAAATAATTTTTGCTTTTCACTTTAAGTTGGAAAAATATGAATTTATTAATAATTTAAATTGAAATTTACGTTGATCTTATTTTCCAAGGTATCCATTTATACCAAGGTAAATTTGGTATAACTTAATTGGAATATGGGTAATCTGTTCTAATACGAAGCTAGTACTAAACTTCTTCTTCAAGAACAGGCCAATTTTCCTCAACTACTTCTTCAACAAAATTTTAAACGCATACTGGCATATCCTTATCTCTGAGCTACTCTTTTACTTTTGGTTTCTATTTTGCCAGGAACTCCATAATCTTACTTTCTATTTTTTTTCTAACATAATCATTTAATGATTTTTTAATGCCTCCCATGATTCCTCCTCCCATTGAAGATTTCTTCCTTTTTTCCTAAATCTATTTATTTCTATCTGATTTCTCATCCTCAATTGTATCCATATCTTTTTCCTTTTTGAATAAAGACGACATTTTCTCCTAATAATGAAACAATCTAAACTAATTATTTGTATGTTCTTATTTATTATTTATGATTTTTTGCTATAGCTAAATTACAGCTTTTTTAATCACCTATTTTAATTAAAAAAATTTTGTCAAAAATATAGTTGTTATGTATGATAAATAAATATAAATCAAATAAAAATATATGCAAATCAAATTGAATTACATTTTATATTTCGAGCTTTCCTCATGACAAAATATGATTGATTTGAAATAAAAAGTGCTTTAATTATTTTAAATTTACAAAAAATTGGCTAAATTATGATACTTACATTTAAAAAAATAAAGTGTTTATACTAAACCTCTCATCAAAAATTAAAATTTTATTCAATAAATTTTAAACATAATACCTATTTTATTTACTGTAAGAGAAAGATTTATTAACCTTACACTAAAATAACTATGAAAGAATGAATTTCAATCTTTCTCCATAAAATTTTCAATTAGCTCTACATTACCATAAGTTAAGCTTAAGAAAAAAGAATTTAAAATCAATTAAATCGTTACTTAATCAGGTTATTGGTTATAAATAATTATTTTTTTATTTTCTACTATTAACAAAAACATAAAATCATCCTCATAATTATAATTTTTTTATAATAAAATGATTGAATATTAAAATCAAATTTATAACCTATCTTAAAAATAACTTCCTATAAAAACCTTTTTAAGAAGAATTTTAGATTCGATTGCATTTTTTATCTTATTCTATTGAGAAAAAAAATGAGTGTAAGCTAATTAAAAAAAAATATAATAGCCACTAATTTTTCAATTAAGAACGTATCAATTAAATTTAATAAATTTAAATCAAATACAATTAATTTAAAAAGTATTTTTCTCAAACAGAATATTTATTATTTGATTTTTATTACATATTATTCCTTTAACTTACTTAATTTATCAATATAATTTTTTTAATTGTTAACATTTTTAAAAATTTTTTGAAAAAATCTTCTTAAATCAAAAACTCTAAAAACTTCAATAAAATTATTAATTATAACAAGAAACTGGCTGGACATTTAACCTAAAATAAAATATCATTTTGATAACTCATTCGATTAAAAACTAATTAACTTCATTAATTCTTAAATTTTTAAGAGGTATTTTTTATTTTAGTCTTATATAAAGTAAAAAAACAAACGAAAATATGATTATTTCTAAAATATAAATAAATAATCAGTATTTGTTAATAAATTAATATGTTTTGTTTTTTAGCTAATTTTCTTAGCAAATCATATAATTTGGTATCATGATGATATGGAGAAATAGTTAAAGCATCAAAAATATCTACATAATATTATCAAAAATATATATAAATAAATAATTGATTAAACAACAAATAATATTTTTATCAAAAACTATTTATTATAAATTAATTTTGGAAACAGATTACCTTTGAAATATCTTTAAGAATCTTCATATTTTACTTAATTTAATTAAAATAATTATATTTTAACATAATTTTTTAATATTTAGTAATTAAGCTATGTCAGTAATATAATTACAAAAGCTATATTCAAATTTAATTACCAATATATTACATTTTTGTTTTTGAAAAATGATAAAAATTTTTAGTTATTATAATAGTGTAGTAGAAATATTTTTAATATCTTATTTATTTAAATATTCCAATTTAAACTTTTGGTAAATATAAATCTCTAATATTTCAATTCAAATATATATTAGTAATGTTAGATATGAATTTTTTTATTTAATAAATTTAAGATTAAAAATACCCAAAATAGTTGTTTAAAATTAGTTACATGTAATTGTAAAAAATAAAATAAAAATTTTTTTTACTATTTTTTTTAGGTAAGTTTTAAATTTCATTTTCAAATTAAAAGCTAAAATTTTCTAATTCCCAATAATGAAATAAATATTTCATATAAATATTATTTCATTTATAAATATAATTTGTTGAAAAATGTTCTCTAAAAGCTCTATATTTGTAATCGTATTTAATACGTATTGGAATGTGGGAATAATCTAAATTTGTATGATGTAATTAATAATTTTATTAAAGATATTTCTTTTACTAAATTTAAATTAAATTGTTTGATTACATGAATAAAAGAAATTTGTTACTTTTTTTGGGGAATATTTTTAAATAAAATTTTAATTCAAACGAGGAATAAGGTGAGAAATAAATAAAAATTTTGGCTTCTATATTAAAAATTCACAACAGACTTTACATCTGCAGGAAAATAAAAATTAGATTAATCAACTTTTGCGTTGTATAATCAATTTGAATAATTTAAATTATATAAAAAAAATATTTATAGAAAATTAAAAATATTGCAGAAGAAACTTAATAAAAAAAGACAAATTGATGTGAATTAAAATACATTTTACACAGAAAATGGATAAGTGAAAGTGCTACAATTCTAGTAATTAATTTATATATAATTTATATAGTAGTAAATATATTTCTTTATAGTTCTTTTAATATATAATTTGTATCATATTAGTTTTTAGAAGAATTTGGTCATGAATAACTAATTATAATCGTTATTGTGCTTGGATAAATCATGGTGAGTGATTTATTAAAAATTACGATAATAGTAACTTTAAATTGATTTGAATTAAATGATTAAGTTAGAGCTAAGAGGTATTTATCTTTTTGTTCAAACCATTTCAAATAATTTGGTGTGTAGAGATTCATCAATCAATGATTGTTATTCATCAAAGAGACACTCGACTTGCTTTCTGGTCAAACCTTTTGTTTCTTTGATATAATGGTGAACAAAATAAAAACCTGCAGCGCAATTCATTGCAAAGAAAAAGAATGCAAAACTAAGTCCTAAGCTGTCAATTAAGATAGGGAAGATAAAGCCGACTATTGCTTCAAATCCCCAGTAAAATAAGTATATTAGACTTAAACTCTTTGGACACAAAATATCAGCACTATATGCAAAAGAGTTAGGACCATAAGCTGAAGCTGTATAAGACCTTGAAAAGAAGGTAAAAATGATGATCCAAATGGAGAGGCTATTACTGGCTTATGCCTTATTTTCTTAGACATAAGCAAAGAAACTTAAAATAAAATTTATGCAAACAAGCCCAGCCATGCCATTTTTCAAGAGAGGTTTTCTACCATGCTTTTAAGAAAGTTATCCTGCTATATATGAGCAAATAACTGGAGTAAGACCAATACCAACAGTTAAATATAATGCAATGTTAGTGTTTCCATTAGTTGCTTAAGAGAATATCTTTGTTGCGACTAATAAATAAAGAAAATAATTTAGAAATTCTTACTAAATAGAAAATTATTTATATTTGATAAAAAAATGGGAATGAAAGATAGAAAAATATGGATTTCAAAGTTTGAACTAAATTCTTTGAATGTGCTTTTAATTATTAATGAGAGTTTGACATAATTTGAGTTGAAAACAAATAATTTTGAAAAATTGATTTGAATAGTTTTTTTTTGCTCTGATAATGTACATATACTTCAAAGATTATTTTCCCCAATTGATTTAGATTATTAAAAAATAAAATACCAATTGATGATTTTCAAATTAGCTTTGCAATAATTTAAGGTTGAAAGAATTTATCATTGATTGATAGATTAATCTCAAATTTGTAAAAAATTAAGGTTGAAAGATAAAAGAATTTGTAATTGATTGATTAATCAATTAGTAATTAAAAATCATGGGAAAAAAGTAAGAAAAATTTTTATTTTAGTTTGAGTCATTTAGATTCAATTCATAGATTGCTTATTTAAAAAAATATTTAAAGAAGAACCAAAAAATTATATATCTATCTATCTGATGTGATTGATGTTGATATTATAAAAATTGTTAATCAAAGAAAAAGCAAGCTTACAGAAAATAATTGCATATGTTCCACTCATTTACATAAAGTACATTAGAGTTATGCCTATTTAGAGTTTTTTCATGTTTTTGGTAGAAAAAATATCGTTCGCTGAGTTGCTGTTGCGTTATTTTTCTTCGTAAGAGCCATAATAATCTTGAGAGACTTAGTGCACATATTTTTCTTTGTAAAGGATTTCCAAAACATATTGGAGTTCATCACCCATTCCATTTTCAATATAAAAGAAAGGTGTTTCCATTGTGTATTTATACCTAATGTAAAACAAATAATAAATAAATTTTAATTGGTAAGAGAAATCAGGATATTTAAAATATTGTATTTTCTCCCATCTATTCAGAGAGAATTAGCTAAATATTTAAAAAATTTAAAAATCTGTAAATTACTTCAATAAGATGATTCTGATGATTGGGAATATTACTGGGAAGAGGTATACAAAAAATAAGTAGAAATTGCTATTTTATTGTTATTCAGCTACAGGCTCACTTGAAGAAGAGGCAAATCCTATTCCAAGTAAGTAAGCAACGAAAACACCCATGTTATTTATAAAAATTGGAAGAGTTCCTCCTTGTTGTAACATTTCTACTGGAGTAATTTCTTTCACAATTGTGCAGACTAAAGAAGAGTTAAAGCCTGCATTTAGACCAAGTAAAAAACGACCTATCGAAAAGAGTGTAGTAGAATAGATAAAGATATTGAAGAAACAACCTAATTTTAATGGAAATTAAAAGCTTAACTTTTTAAATATTTATTAAAAAATGTAATAAAGACTTTTTAAAATATTCCTTTTAAAAAACAAATTTTAATAAAAGGCAAAAAAATAATAAATTAATCCTTTTTAAAATATGACACCATGCTTAAGATTTAATTCATTTTGAAGCTAATATGTTTAAATGTTAGAATTTTTTGTAATAATCCTATTAAAATTTTTAGCAGACTAGAATGTTTAAAAAAGTGTAATTACATTTTTAAATTTACCATATAATTTAAGATTAAGCTTTGGTAAAAATAATGTAAAAATGATTTTGGATTATCGTTTTAGAAGTATTTATTTTTGCTATACAAATAAAAGAGTATTTAAGTTAATTACCTATGATACCGAGCAAGTCAATTACTATCATAGAATACCTTCTAGAAAAATACTTAAATATGTACATTGACATTAAAGAGCCGATTAGACCACCAATTGGTAGAAGTGAAGTGATAAAACCATCGAAAGCAGCTTAAATTTCTTCTTATATTTCCAAGGTTTTGTGTATAGGCTCTTATGAAGATGTATAGACACCCAATTAAAATCCCCAAAAAAATTATCCAAGGCAATAAGTGAGAATTATTTTGAGTATGAGTGACCTATCTTTGTACTATGTTTCGTGCTGTTAATCCTTATTTTCAATCATTGCAGTTAATTTTAGTTGTTTGTTATGATTAGCTAATTCCAAGTTTTTGTCAATATTTTACTTTTTTTATTATTATTTAATTATTTTTAAGAAATAAGTCAGTATTCTTTGATTGAATTTAGTAAATAAAAAGCAGATGCATAAAATCCAAATTAATTTCTTCTGGAATCATAAGCAGAAAGAAGACTGTTAATATTTTCTTAAAATTTGTATTGATTTGAGTAATACACGTTAAAATGAGTAGAAGTATTTCATGTTAGCAATTTAATTTAAACTAATACTTACAGTGTATTTTACATTTCTAAAATAAAGAAATCATTTTATCCTTTATTCTGGGGATTATTTTTTTTATTTTGCTTACAAATCATGTTGATTGATAGATCTATATAATAATTTATAAATTATTTATATGATGATATTTAAGGATATTTTTTAAAATATGATGATTTTTTATTTACTATAATTGATGTTAGATTCTATTGTATTCTTAAAAAAGAACAACAAATCAAATAAACTTAAGATGATTTTTCGCTTTTGAAATTTTATGTTTATTATTGGAAGTCGTTAGTTATAAAGTATAATAAAATGGAAAAGTGAATAAATAAAATGCTACATATAATTAATTTTAACGATTAAAAGTTGGTCATTCAATATTTAAATACAACAGTAATTAATTTTTATTTATTGAGCAAATATATATAACATGAATAGAGTTTCTAGAACAACAAAAATGACAAATTTAAAAATTCGATGTTAATATTAAGAATGATTAAAGAAGAAAAGTAATGTATTTATTTATTTATTTATTTATTTATTATTTTTAGAAAGCAACTCATAACTCGCTTTAACTTTATAGATAAAAATTAATCAAAAAATTTAAATATTACAAAACAAACGTCATTTTTGATAAAATATGATTTAATAAATACGTCTAAATCAAAAAATTAACAATTTTTAATTTAAAAAGCAAGAAAGGACTACATTTTTTTAAATAATTTACAAAAATCCCATGAATTTCCTTTTTATTCTTATAGGAGCAAACAAATATTTAACTTTAAATTTTTCTCTTTATTTCTTGAAGTAACTTTAAAAGTTAATTCAATTAAATAGGTAAATTTATTTACAAAAAAAATATTTAAATAAAATAAGTTCTAAAATTAGAATTTAAGATTTTTATTCAAGTGATATTTCAAATTCTTAACATTTCCTCTCTTTTTTGAAATTCTGTTTTATACTTTTCTTTAACAGTTTCTTCATAGCTATCAAAGCTCTATTTATCATATTCTACAAGCTCGCTTTTATTTTTTTAAATATATTCTAGAAAATCATCCTATTTTTTAAGATAAAATTAATAAATGTAAAAATAAATTTGTAATATTTTGAACCTCCTAAGGTTATTCTGAGTTAAAAAGCGAATATCCTTTTTCTTTGTTGTCTTAAATTATTTTTATATTATATTTTGCTCTCTCAGTAGCTTATTGATGCAGATATTCTACCATTCTAATAATTTCTAAGCAAGAGTATCTATATGTATAAACAATCTCGTTTTAAAATTGCTTAAAATAAATAAAAATAACCTTTTAGCTCTAGATGAAATATTTTTGATTTGGCTATCTTACAAAGAAGTAATATTCAAAAGTTTTAATTATTTCTTAATTAAATAAAACTTTTATTCTTTATTTGGCCATTTAATTTTTATGAATTTTTAAAAAAACATTTATAACTTTTAGCTTAATTTCCATGGGCATCTAGAAGAAGCAAATATAAACACTCCCTTTTACTTTTGAATTTCTTGTAACGAAGATAAAATATATTATGAACACTGTTATGATTATATAATCTGATCCTATTCTTAATCAGGAACTTAATGTTTAAATCCAAAAATATCATCAATGTCTTCTATATAAATAAGCACTTTCTTGTATTTTTTTACTTCTCTAAATACTTTTTTAGGATCTCTATTTTAAAATATTAAAAGAAAACAAAATATGTTAAAGAATATTAAAAGTAACAAATTTTATGTATTTAAATGTCATTTTTTAATTTTGTTGGTTAAACTTTATTTATTAAAAAAATTATTTATTTTTAGTTGGCAAATAAATAAATATATTAATTATGTTTACATAAATTCCTCGCCATTTCTTTTGTTAAGCATTAAACTTGCTTTTACATATGTCACTTTGATTTCTTTGAATTAGTTAGCTAAGCATTTCACTATTGAAGCCTTGCCACAATTTTAAGGCTAGTATATATATAAACATTATTTAGCAATAAAAATAAACATAAATTAATTTACTCCATAAATCAACAAAGTATTTGTGGGAGATATTTTTTTAAAAAAATTAGGAAGTCTAAGTGGCATCATAATCATTTAGTATATAACTTTCTTTTATTCGTCAACTCCTATTAAATCATCCCATTTTAATTTGAAACCCTCTAAGAACATCTCATCTTTTTACTCATCGCTAAAAATATATTTGGCATAATTAAATATCTAAAATTAGAATTATATAACTCACTTTAGACTAGATATTGTTGTTTGAGTATTTAATGAAATGACTTCATCAGCTTCATAAATTGTCTGCTAATAGTTTTTTTAATTTTATTGAAGAGGTATCTTTGGCACTATTTGTTTTATTTATCTGTTTGGATTGCTTAATTTGCTTATAAATGACGATTGGACTGAATCCTAGTAAGAACTGTTTTGATTTGTGAGGAAGCCAGAAGCAAAGTCAGCTTCTTCACTCACCTCAGATTGATCCTTAGCTCTGAAATATGGTTAATCAGAAATAAATATCATGGATTTATTATCAATGACTGTAAATGTTGAATTCAATTCATAATCTTAAATGCTTGAAATATCTTCATTATCAAATTATTTATTTCTTTTTACATCCATTTGTTAGATAAAATTTAAATTAGTTTATTAAGTATCAAATATTCAATTTTATACTGGCTTTTTTAACATGTATTACTCTACAGCTAATGAAATTCACTTAAAGTAATTTCTTGAACAGTCAGTACAAATTCATTTTTATTTAATTTCTTGTATAATAATTATATAAAAATCTTTATCTACATTTTAAGTGAATAATATAATAAATAACATGCCGTATTTATAAAACAACAAATTCTATATAATTTATTTATTGTTTGTTTGTTTGTTTGAATAATGTTTTTAAATTTTTAGTCCAACTTTATGAATTTTTTACAAAGAAATTAAGTAAAATAATTTTTATTAAATTTAAAGAAAATAAAGTGAGATTAATAATTATAAATAATTACTTTGAAATTCAAACAATATTTTTGAAAGCTATTTTTTAAACAATCTTTTTTTAAGATAAATTTTTAACACTTACTTTAGCATAAAATTGAGAAGATAGATAAAGATGATAGATTTTTTATAAATAACATAATGAAAAGGAATGAATAATTGTGACTTAATATCCTTTAAATTAAATTTAAAAGAATGAATTTTTGAAAAAATATTTATTAAATCAAGTAAAGATTGATCGCTAACTATTCTCTTCAATGAGTTGTTATAATTATATAATTAAATGAGTGTATTTTTCTTTATATTTATTGTTATGATCTTCTTTAAATAATATAAATTCTAAAAATCAATCAAAAAACTTATCAAAAAATTAATAATTTACAATAACAAAAGATAGTAATTTTTTAAGGTCAAAAGCTTCTAGATAGATAGATAAACAAACATATAAATAAATAAATATATTTATAAAAATATACATTAGTTTTAAAGGTTTAACAAAGATTAACGAATCTTATGCATTTAAATGAAATGAGTGCAGAATCTTCATAATATGGCACTTCAAATGTTAAGAAAAAAAAGATTTTAAATGATGTTATTAATGAGCCAGCGAATTCGAATTCTGAAGAGTCAGAAGAATCTTTTGATTAAAATAATGATTATGTCGTTGAGTATGATGATAAATAATTTTAAGGTCAAGGTTTTGGCAACAAGAATATAAGAAATTTATAAGGGTTAGGAAATTAAAAGATTATTTTTAATAGCTTGTAAGATGAGCATCATTCAAACATAAAACCTGGTATTTAGCAAATAAATTATGGTTAAATAGAATAAAGTAATAAAATTAGAAATTATAGTATTGGTGTTACTAATAGCTCTTAAAATAAACATTATACATCATTTCAAAACAATAAAATAAGCCCATAATTAGTCAGCTAGTAGAATTAATTGAGAGCGCCTGTAGCAGACTTGTTAGGAGGCAGTGCAGATAGAAAGCAAAGAAAATTTTCAGAAAATATTTTACCATTATAAGATAATATGTATGACCAGTAATATAATTAAATGGATAGCTAGTTTATAGAGTGCATATATAACTAGCAAAGATAAAGATTTTAAGTTAAGGAAACGAGTGAGATAAAAGAAGGACGAGACACTATTGGTAAAAAAACAATAAATGAATACAGATTTATCAAAAAGTTGGGACAAGGCACTTTTGCAAAAGTTAAATTAGCTATTTCTTCAACGACTCAAAAGCAGTACGCCATTAAAATATTTTATAGATCATAATTGTTGAAAAAGACTTACACAGTAATTAACAGCGAGGGTAAACAAGTAATAAAGAATGCATTCTAGAATTTAATGAGAGAAATTTCGATTATGAAGTTAATCTGGCATCCTAATGCAATTAAACTTTATGAAATTATTCAAAACAGATAGAATGATAAGATATATTTAGTGATGGAATATGCATCCTAAGGATAACTCATGGACTGGGATTCTAAAATGAATATATTTACACGTAATAATTACCTGTTTGCTACTAATTTAACATCTCCTAGGTCTGAGTTTTCATTACTAAATTCTTAATAATCAAACCATCAAACATATTTACAAAGCCCCTCGCTCATTAGTATTCCTTAGCAACAAAGCATTTCTTAATATCAAAAGGCATGCTTAGATATTAAGAGTAATATTGATGAAGAAGATTCTGTAGATGAAGAATAAATTAGAATGATATTTAGGTAATGCGTAAAAGGTTTGTCTTATCTTCACTCAAATAATATAATTCATAGGGATATTAAACCTTAAAACATACTGATATCTAAGTGTGGAATGGTGAAACTCAGTGATTTTGGTATTTCTACTATTGTAGGAGATGAAGAAGAGAATTTATAAAATTAAGATGGTACATATCATTTCTAACCTCCTGAGTTTTTTGCAAAAGAGGTTAAGACTCAAAATAACTCTAATTATTCTTTTCTCCCTGGAACATTTAATCCTCTGAGAAAAAGTAAAAATGGAAAGGAGCAAGCATAAAAAATAGCTTATCGGATAGAAAGAATTTGTAGGCTTAAATAAGCTGATGTTTGGGCATTAGGTGTAACCCTATACGCTTTAGTTTATAAGAGGTTGCCTTTTTATCACAATAACTTATAACAACTATTTCACCTTATAGAAAAGGGGAATCTTGTTTTTCCAAGTAAACCAAAAATATCACCAGGACTTTAAAACCTAATTCAAGGAATGCTTGAAAAGGATTTTGAGAAGCGACTAACACTTGAGGATATCTAAAAGAATTTTTGGGTAAATTAGAATGAAACGGACTTACAAACAGAAATAAAATAAAGTTAGCGTAGGTAATAAGCTAGCTAATTTTAGCTTTCAAATTCATAAAAATAGTCACCACAATTGATGTCTAGTTTAGCTTCCCTTAGTACATAGAATTCAAACAATTTATAGCTCTCAAACAAAATTAAATTTACATTAAAAAAAATCAAAGCTATCTGCACTTGTAAAGCTTTGTTTGTGCGTTTTAGACATTTACATAGTATTAGCTCTCCGATAATAAAGTCTGATTTAAAAAATATATCTCCAAATAAAATAAAAAAATTTAAGTAAGCATTACTAACAGACGAGAAAGGAGAAAATCAGTCAGCTCTCTCAACTAATTGCTATCCTCCTTCTATTTCTCTTCTAGATTAAGCTAATTTGTAATAAAATTAGAAAAATAGTTAGCTTATGAGATAAGATGAGCAAAAATAACAAAATGGAACAAGGAACAAAGAATACACAAACAACAAAAGTCAAAATTCAATAATTTCTTAATCAAATAATAGTAATTAGCATAATAATAATGGATAAAACTCACAAAATGTATACAATTTTAGAAAAAAAGAATTAGCTTAAAACATGCAAATTTAGACAAATCAACAAATATCATTTAAATAAAAGAATGAATAGAATTAAGAATATTTTTTAAACGATGATGAAAATAAATCTAATAATGAAAATGGTAATACATATCCTTCAAAAATATTACAGTTTTAATCGAAGGCTAGTTTAAATGATGATTCTTTACTTGAAGAAAGTGATGTTATCAACACCCTACCTTCATTCAATCAAAAATAAGTTAAACTTATCACTCAAATAGACTTTGAAAACTCTTTAGAAAAGAATTGTTAATCCCCATTAATCCTTGAAGAACTTCGTTTTAAACACTATCCTAAATCTGAAATAGTTAGTTATTAAAAAAAAATGTTAATCAATTAAGATGTTCATCCCTTTTCAGAAGAAAATCTACAATCAATTGATAATGACACTCAAGTAAATAATTCTCTGTACGAAGCTTCAGAAAAAATTAAAGTCCCACACTTCAACACATCTACACTTATCGAAAAATCTGATTGAATTTTATATTTCTTCAATCAAGATTTTTTTAAAAAAAGAGAAATTCATATTTACCTATTAATAATAGAATGTTGCAAAGTTTAAATTACTATTTTTCTAAAATAAATAAAATAATAAAAAATACTATAATCTTATTTATCACTTTCTCATCGCTTGCTTAAACTTTACTTTTTGTACTATTTAATTGCAAAAATAATATTTTAAAAACATTTAATACTATATAAGCAATAAATAATATTTATCTTATCTTTGATTTCTGTAGTATAAAAGATTTAATATTTCTCAAATTCATATTTCATTCTTTCATAAATCAATTTCAATTAAAAATTTAAAATAGCTAAGTGTAATAAACAAACACAAGTAGATTAGTAGCAACACAATTTGTTTCTTAACCCTTTTGATCCCTCTCTTTAATTCCTACAAATGGTCATTAAAACCTTTCAAATTTAAAAATTTCTTACAGTGGGGCTGAAGGGTTTATTTATTAAAAATATTTGATATTTGTAAAAATTAGAAACAATTAAATGAGAAATTAAAAAAGCCTAAATATAAAAATAAGAAGATTTGCATTTATAAAGTTTGTTGCATTTTTCAATTCTTTAGTTTGATAAATATTTATCATTTCTAATATTAATAAATTAGAGTTATTTAAATTACAAAATAAAAAAGTGCTTAGTGTAAACAAAAGTAGATAGATTCAAAGAGATATATTAAGATCAGCTTTTATAATATTACTTAAATAGTGTGTAAGCAAGGTATATAATTTATGTAGTAAATGTAATCAATTATAAAGGTGAAGATACTATGAAAATCTTACACTCAACATATTTTTCAGAGAAAAATTTGTAAAAGTTTTGAAAAAATACTTAAAGTAAAAAAATATTCTAAGCAAATAATATTTATTTATAAAATAAATAATCTAAAGAAGTAAGAAAACTATATATATAAAATGATAAAAGCTTTAATAATGTCAGTTATTTTGGCTGGAACTATTCTAGCATCTTAATTTTAACACCATAAAATCAAAAATTTGAAAAATGTTACAGACGAGTAATGGGAGCTAATATTTTAAGATGAGTTTGATGGAGACCAAATAGATCAATCTAAATGGAACATTGCTAATAATTTTACTCATACTCAAAAAGAGTAATAAATTTATTTTCCCGAAAACGCATATACAGAAAATGGTAATCTGGTTATCAAAACTGTATTTTAGCCCACATTTTATGCCCCATTTAATCGTACTTATAACTACACTTCAGCCTGGCTTGATAGCTCTAAAAAATTCAACTTTACTTCTGGATCTAAAATAGAGGCAAGAATTTTATTGCCTAAAACATCTAAAGGAGATTAAATATGGCCTGCTTTTTGGACAAAAGGGGAATTAGCTCCTTGGCCATCTGGAGGAGAGATAGATATCATGGAGATGAGCACAAACTGGTATGGAGATAATCTACCTCATTTATATGGAACTTACCATTGGGGATAACCTGGAGAAGATTATTGTGGAGGTTGCGGCACTATATTCCCTGATTTTTAATTGAATTTAGATGAATATATTAACTTTTCAATTATTTGGGATGATAACCAAATTACATGGTATGTTAATGACATTCAATATAGGATCAATTAACAAGGAGTTTTTTACAACAATACAAGTGTTCATGAGCCAATTGATCTTCCTTAATTCCCTTAATATCTAATTATAAATGACGCTATAGATGGCTTCGCAACTCCTAACCAAGCAGAATATCCTAAATATATGAAAATAGATTACGTTAGAGCCTATAAAAAAATAATAACCTCATCAGATCATTGAAAAAATTTATATTTAGTTGTATCTTATTTATTGTCTAGATACAGGTATATTTTGAGTATAAAAATATTTTCTAAGTAATTCTTTTAATATTTTCCTCTTTGTTAATTGAAGTTCATCATTTTAATAAATAATGTAATAAAATAAAAGTATATTCCAAAAATATTTTTTCGAACCTTTTTTCTCATAATTAAGTTAAAAAAGAATTTATTAGAAAATAAGAACAAATAATTATTATATATTCTCTTATTTTTGATAGAAAACAGAATTTTTATTATTTTAATTATTCAAAAAATTAAAAATAACTATAAGAGAAAGTAAATATGTATGTATATAATATGATTAATCAAGAATATGAGATAATATTTAGAAGTTACGATAATATACAATCAAAAATAAGCATTTTAATAATTTGAAAATTTTTAGAGCCAAAATCAGTTAAACAACCTATTTATAAATTTACTTCTTAAATTTATTTTCAAAGAAGTAAATTTTTAGGAGAAAATAAAATTTTATTTAATTTTATATCAAAATTAAAAGTCTTTGAAAAATGTTTTCTTTTTTAAACCATTGTTCAAATTTTAATTAATTAATTAATTAATTACAGGCTGATATTGAAAAATAATATAATAATTTAATTAATTTCTAAATTGTTAATTGATAAAAAACTAAAGTAAGATCTAATTAATAACCCAATCAAAATGACTTTGGAAACCTTTGAGGATAAAGCAAAAGATCTCTTGTAAAAGAGTTCAAGTTAAAGACCTAATAATATGTTTTAGATATAAATTCATTAAAAAAAGCATGATTATGGTGGGGATAATATTAAGCCGTCAAAATAATAAATAATTTAAATCCCTTCTTAGCATTTATATATAAACGATCTTATGACAGATCTAACACCATATAACATTTCATATTTGATATAATAAAAAGCTGACATAGATAAAAACTTTTGCCCAGAGTAGCTAGATGACTATAAATATAAAATCACATAAAGTAAAACTGTAGTAGATTTTGATTATGATGAGGAAACAGACGAATTAATAGAAGTTGAAGTATAATAAAAATCTGAATATTATTTATATATTTTAAAAATATCTAATCTAGAAAATATGTACACAGTTAAATTCTAAAATATAACGAAATAATATGACATAGAATTCCAAAATAATAAAAATGATTTTTAGGAATATTTAAAGAAATTTTGATTCACAACCATTTAATTTAATAGATATTTATAATAACCACCAAATAGTATACTAACTATTATAAAAATTATTACAAAATCTAAAAAGAAGAGCTTTTATCTGATTTAGATTGTATTTAATATTATAATGTTAACAATATTCTATAATAAATAAGCGTAAGCACAATAAATAAAACTTTAGCTGGAATTTATTATATTTAAGATGTTATTGGATTTGCTATAAAAGTTGTATGCTTTTATTCCAACTAACATAAATAGAAACAAATATTTATGTATAAAATCTGTATTAAAAAAAAATAATTTTTTTATTGAAAATTTTTTATGTATTTCCTACAAAAAATTAGTAGTATTTATTTATATTTTTCATGTTTTTACTAAATAATTTTTTCTTATTTATTTTTTGATGACAATTACTCTTTTATTTAATTCTGTTGAAAAATTGAGGCATATCTCACTCTAAATTTATATTAATAGAGGATAAATACACTAAATTTATTCTGAATTTAAAATATTTTTGAGCGAAATATTTTGGCCTATATTCTTATTTGAAAGACTGCAAATATAAACAAAATTTATTCTATCGTTGCCTCAAGCAACAAAAGACTTTTATTCTTAATTTAAATGGATCAGTAGAATTTAAATAACTTAGAGTTTCCTGAAGAAATATTAGAATTTGTAAATAAAATAATTGAGTAAAATAAACTCAATGAAAAAACAACTGAAGTAGATGGTAATTATGACCCTTAATATGATTAAGATGAAGACTCTTTGACTATTAATGATCCAAATTTTTTGAAAAAATTATAAGAATATGATGAAAAATATGAAGAATAAAATCAAGAAGATAATAAAATTGATATTGAAATAGAATAAGTAAGAGAAGAAGCTGGACAAATTAATTCAGTAAATTAATCGTATAAATAAGAGTTAACTTACGAAGAAAAATTGAAATGGATTGACGATGTATTTAATGCTGATTATTTTAAACATGAAGATCATAATCAAGATAGAATTCAAGACGAATAAAGTTAAGATTCTAATGATGAAGACGATATTTATTAAATGGAAAAATAGTTTTTTGAAAAAATAAAATAATAACAAAGAGAAGAAGAGGAAAAGAGATAGGCCTAAGCTGAAAAAAATAGAAAATTGTATGAAGAAATAGTAGGAGAAAAGCATCGTAAAGTTTAAATTATTGTCCTATCTAGCACTTCATCTAGCCAATAGTCGTCTCCTAAAAATAATTCTAGGCTAGATAATGACAAAGAAGAGAATAATACAGAGTATTAAGAGGGCAGTAATATGACAGGAATAGAATAAAATAATAATAAAATAGACTAAAATGCAGCTTTTGACTAATTCTGTGTAAAGGAAGAATACTTTTCTGATGAAGAAAGGGAGTCATTATAGAATGAAAAAATAGACACAATAATGGACTAAGAAAATAAAGAAATAGAAAATAAGGAAAAAGACTATATAGACGAAATTTAAAATTTGTATCAGTAAGATAAAAATGAATTTATGAATGCATATTCAAAAGATGCTAACAGTGATCAATATTCAAATCAAAGATAAGAAAATTTAGAAGCCTTTTCTTACTAAGATTCAAACAATATTAATGACTATGAAAAAGAGCTTGAAGATTTATTTGATAGATTAAACATAAAATGAGAGAGAAAGAAATAAATAAATAAGTATTAATGAATATAAAATTGTTTTTATTTCTAAATAGAAAAGAGAAATATCCATAAAAATACTTTTATGTATTTTGAAATATGTTCATGTGTACAAAATGATGAAATTAATCTCTGTTTTACACAAAATTTTCTCATCTGAAACAAAAAAAAATAAAACACTTTTATTTTTTAATTATGTTTTTTCTACTAAAAGAAAGAAAATTTAATTTAGATATGTAGTTTGTTAAACGGATGAATTAATTAAACAAAAAAAAAATAATACTGAAATAAATTAAAAGCTTAAATCTTTTTGCTTTTTTTATTTAACCTTGTTCTTTATGAATTAAGAATAAAAAATAAATAAAAGAATTATTATTTAAATATATTAATTTTTTTTATTATTTTATTATTTTAAACTTAATAAATTAATTATTAATATAGATATTAATTTCAATTCAATTTTGAATTAAACATTTATTTTATTTTAAAATTAATAATCAAATATTTCTTAATTTTGAAAAGAATTATTCAAATATATTTTAGATTTTATGAGTAATTAATTTATATTTTTTTATTTATTTTTCTCTTTTTATACTTTTAAATCCAAATTAAAAAAAATATTTTTCTGAATATTCAACAAGCTAAGGTAAATTTTAACAAAATCTTTTCAATTAACTTAATGGCAACAGTAACATTTACTAAATCTTTTCCATTAAAAGCTTCTCATATAAATATCTAACAAAAGCATTAAAAATTTAATAAATTCAACAGATTTTTCATTTAATAATAACTTTAAATAATTTATTAAAATAATTTAAAGATAATTTTTAAACAAAAATTTGACTTCGAAAAAATATTATTATGCAATTAAAATATTAATTTTCATTTAAACAAATAAAATAAATGTTGTGTTAGAATAAAAAGTAGTTTTTTATACTTTATCAATAATTAATCAAATTTACTAATTAATATGTAAAATCTTTTAATTTATTTTCAAAACAAAAAATAATTAACTATTTTTCTTCAATTTTAAAAAGAGTTTGAATGAAAAAAGATTTAAAAATTATATTTTGTTTTATAATATTCTTTCAATTATTAAAATTAGTTTCTCACAAATTATTTCTAGCTTTAAACATAAATTATTTGTATTAATTTTAAAAAATTATTTTTTGTAATTGCTAAAAATTTCCTTTCAAAATAGTTTTATTTTTATTTGATCTTTATATTTTATGCAACTAAATATTATAAAAATAAATAAAAAGAATCAAAAAAATTAAAATATGATAAAAGATAATAAAAATGTTATTTACTAAAAAATATGCTTGATTTAAAGTTATTATGGTTTCCCAATATCATTAATTTTAAACGGGTAATTAATTAATCATTTAAAGACATTCAAAATCATTTAAACTTTTATCAAAAATATTCTTTTTATCAGATTTGAAAGTAAAGATATTATAATTTTAAAAATAAATAATGGGAAACGAATGTTGCAGATGTGATTGTGGTAATTTAAATGTTGAATGAATAATATTTTAATTACTCAACTTTTCAATCAATAAATTAGAGTAAGATAAACATCTTCCTTTGGAATATGAGGTTTCAGTAATAACTTAATCTGAAGTAGGAGATGATTATTATTGGAGAGGATATTAACCAGGTTATGAAAAGGCTGGTTAACATCTTTCACAGGAATATGTTAAGAGAGCATGCTATTTGATAGATGCATTTGACAAAATATAAGAATAGCATTAAGCTTAAAAATTCGATATTTTTAATCAAATTCTAGAAACAGGAATGTTAACCACTAAAGGTTCTTAGAAAAAATGCTCTTTCTAAGCAAGTAGAATAAATAAATATGAATCTGACTAAAGTCTAAACAGAAATAATTTTAATAGCAACGAAAATTTAAAAAAAACAAATTTTGATGAAAGTAAAGTAAGCAGTTCTAAAAGGCTTTCAGACTGTAGGTATTGCCCTCCCCAAGATAGCAACAAAAAATAAATGCATAGCTCTTCTCACTCTCATTTATCTTCCTCAAATAAATATTCAAATCTTAGTGATTATTCTAACTCTGTAATAAAATATGGAATATGAATCAACCAATAAATAATAAATATAGATTGAAAATTAATAAATACTCTATTTAATAATCAAAATACTTTAATGAAGCTAGCTTATAAACTTTTAATTTAAAATGTCATTTAAAAATCATATTAACTAATTATATCCAATTCAAATGGTAAAAAATTAAATAACTTAATAAATAAATAAACAAACAAACAAACAAATCTACTTATTATTATGATGTTAGTTAATTACTAATATTTAAAATTAATAATTTAAATGTATTCATTCACTTTATTTGCATATAAAAAATAAATAATTTGGTTTCAAATAATGTTTCTAATTCATTTTCATCATTTAATAAACTCATTATAAATATTTTTGAAATAGAATTTTATCTCACCTTTTACATTTTTTCATTATTAAATCAATGTAAAATGCAAAAAATTGTGTATTATCATATTTTTTTTTAACAAAGCAATAATGATAAAAAATTTGAGAAACTCATTTTATTTTTATAGAAGTTAAAAAAAATAATTTTTTGACAAGCATAATTTTCTTTTCTAATTCAAATTTACTTTTGTCAATCTATTTTTTTTAATTTATATTTTGATATTTTAGTACCTATGAAAATTCAAAGTATTTTTTTAATTATTTCAAAATTTTAGCTTCCTATTTGAAAAGGCTTTTAAAAAATTCATAGTATTTATGGTTTCTACCTAAATTTATCCATTCAAGCTTTGAGATGCTATGTTGGATGAGTAGTTTAATGATATACCCATATTTTAAATAATACAATTGCATTTTTCATTATCAAATTTATAATTTTATTGTTTTTTAATTTCTTTCTTATATTTATTACACAAACACAAGAAAATAAATATTAAAGATCTGATCATTCAAAATGGCTTCTAATAAGGTATGCCATCTTAAAAATATACAACTTTTATTGTTTTATACCAAATAGCCTTAAAAAATAAAATTAAGAAGATAGATACTCAAAAAATTATAAAAAATTTAAATTTTATGTAAATATTACAAATTATGGTATGGAGAGGAATAAGGTATAAAATAAAAAAGAAAATTCTTTATCCTATATTTAAAGTATTTTTTTAAATTAATATTTTGCATATTATAAGTTCATTCTTTCTGAAATTCTTTAACAATATTTATAAAATTCTTCTAGTAAATAAGATCTAATTATGAAAATTATTTAAATTAAAAGTTATTGTCTAGAAAATAAACTTTTAAGAATTTAAAGATAATGCAAATATAAAATATATAGCTTCAAAAAGTGCAAATATGATATAACTTCATTTTTTATCTTTCTAAGTAAATAAGATCAAATTATGAATATTATTTCAATTAAAGATTTTTGTAAAGAAAATGAAATTTTAAGAAATAAACGATGCAAAAAAAATATAAAATGTATAAAAAATTCAAAATAAACAATACCTGATCAAAAAACAATACAAATAAAATTTAATACTATTTTCAAATAGTTAAGCTGGACACAACTTTGCTTAAGCCGAAAATAGCATACAATTTATAGAATATAAAATTCTTTTATATATTTTTTAATATAATGATCTTAAAAAGTGCCAAGATTGACTAAACAAAGATAAAGTCAACTCCTATAACTAGAAAGAATTAAACGTATTTTGAATTAGCATAGCCTGGCTCTTCATTGCTTATAACAGCTAAAATGACATAATAATAAACATACCATAAAAAAGGTAGATAATTTTTGACCTACTCTAGTTATTTTATGAACTATTGTTATTAAGAAAACTCCAACTTCTACGATTATTGAGCTAACTATTGAAATTATTATTTTTTAAATGGCATTATAGCTTTCATCAAATACTGTTGACAGACAAAGAGAGTGGATTACCCTCAAGTAAATAATATTGAATCTAATTGGTCTTGAAAGAGAAGGCTCATATGTATAAATTGTATTAAAATAGGCGTGAAATACTTTAAATTATACTAAAAGAGATAATTTTTTAAGTTATTCTATTGTTTAAATTTCATCTTCCTTTAATTTAACAACTTAATTTACTAAATTACTTTTGCTGCTCTAATCTTAAAATGTGCTTACAGTTATCTTATTTGAATTTATTAATTTGTCTTATTACACTTCTTAAAAAGTTTTTAATTAACCTTAATTTAGCTTTTCATCTTAAATGTTTGGCTACTCTAACTCTTAAAGCTATTCTGATTAGACTTATTCCTAGAGTTAAAGTGGTTAATTATCAAGATTTTTCAACTAGTTTGGCTACTCAGTAGATATTTAATTTTCTAATTTGAAAAATTCGATTTAGTTTGATTCAATTTGTTCATTTTTTAAAATTGTTAAGGTATTTAAAAATTTTTGTCTTTTTGTTTGATTCTTAGAAATTAATAGGTCTTGCTAATCTTAATTATTAGTTTACTATATAACACCATTTAATTCTTAAATACTTTATAATTGCAAGCTTGGTATCTAATTCTTTCCACTAATAGGAGGATTTTCTAATTCCGATGCCATAGGCATAATCTATGAGATAGTAGTTTTGCTAAATTTTTTGTCTAGATTTCTACCATAATAATATAAACCTAATTATAACAAAGTTATAGTACAAAGAGTCCAAACAATAGCATATTAATAAAAATTCTTAAAATTGCTTATGTTATTAAATCCATCTGAGCTAAAAGCTTCTTTTACATTTTTATTTATAAGCAATGATTCTAGATCATCAATCACAGTTGTAGGATTTGTACTTTTACAATAGCAATAGTATTTATTATTCTTTGTTATGTTGGTACATCCATGAGAAGACCAAGCCTATGATTATTGCATTTAGAGGCAAGTTTAATTATTAGGAGAGGGTTAAAGGTCTTAAAATTTAAAAATATAAAAATTTTATTAATTATCCTTTTAATTTTCCTTGATGTTTATTAATTTTCTATTGCTAAGCATATTGTTCCTTTGTTCAAAGTTAGAACCTTATTGATGCAATAATCTATTTGAGCTTGCATTTACTAAGTCTAAATAATATTTAATGACTGGATTCTAAGTAATTGTTATGCTTGAGTTTATTTATTTTAATTTTTAAATATAAATCTAGAATTCTGATGTTAATTCGAAAGGATTTTGAGAGTAAGTAGTCTAACCTAAATAATAGGTATTTGTTGTTTGTGAATCCTAATAGTCTATTATAACTTACTTTAAATTTTTTGAAGTAATTTATTAGCAATCTAGTGATATTAAATTACCTTACAGCTATACTCCTCCCTAATTAGGTAGAGTTGCTTTGCTTAGGTAACTGCATATTTAGTCTGATATATTCATTTATTGAGATATCAAATTACTGGAAAGAATTTTAGTAGTCGAATTTAATACTTTAAATGAGTCTACAATATTTTGAAGAAAAACATTGTTGTTATTCATAAACATATTATCCTAACTAATTAAAGATTATTAATTTTATAAAATTGTATTTAGCTAGCTTAGGACAGCGATGGTCTAGGATTCTTATTAATTAGTTATAGATTATTATAGTTGGGCAATTACTTTATTTGCGTATGTTGATAATAAAGATGAATTAGGTAGAGAATTAACTTAGCTTATTATTAATGATATGAGCTACGATTTTTTCGGATTCATTGATTCAAGGTTATATACTGGATAGTTCTTAGATATTTCTTCTCCTATGACACACAGGTTTAAAATATTTTAGGAAATTGTCTTTCTACTATCAATTTGTAAAGCTTAGTCAATAATTTTGTTGATTTAATTTTCGGTTTGAGCAAATGGTTAAATGTTTACCTATAAGGTTGTATTGTAAACAGCTAAAAAGTTATCAATAGCCTAAGCCATTAATGTTAAATTTCCTGAAGGAAGGATAGTACTTAATTCGTTTTATAAGCTTTAATCCATTATTTACCTTCTTAGGATATAATTTGGAGATATCTATTCTTATTAATAATCAGTATCATTTAGGTAGTAAAAGAATTAATAAGATATTGGTGCATTGGCTGAGGTGCAACCAGACATTTTGATTTAAAAAATTGTTTATAGAGCTTATCCACTAAGACTGTTTACAGATAATACACAATTATTGGGTGGTAAATTTATATTAAAGTTAGTTATACTTAAACTAGGCATTATGAAATAAGGATTGTATGCGCTGAATCTTACTTACACAATAGCATTTTATGGAAGGATATTTACAAAATAATCCCATATTCTAAACCTCACTTTATAATAATCAAATTTTATAGCTCCTACTACTGTATTATTATAAAGTACTGCACCAGCATAGCTTAGCAAGTCAGAAGAAACATTACTTCCATATATGAGAGTTGCATCAATATCTTAATTAATGTTGACTTATATCAATTAAGATATATCTTTAAATTTAACAATTAAAATAGGTATATCAGTTTCAGATAAGATGATCATAGTTGATTATAATTTTTAACGGGAATCTTTGGTTCCTGTAAAAGTAAATAAAAGAGATTAATAAGGACTAAAAGTTGAACCTGGTATCGAAATGCTAGAAACATTTTGTTGCAAAACTACTGGATGGTTATTGTAGTCGTAGCACTGATTATCATTTTGATTAGAGGTAAGGGATACACAATCCCATTTTAAATTAATTTGTTAATCTTAGTTTGGGTCTTCAAGCTCAAAATCTCTTGCTTATCCAGTTAAATTTAAGGGTTGTTTGAAGCCAAATACTCCTTTTTATCCACCTATAATCTAAATAAATAAATTAGATATATTAGGCATAATAGTTTAAGTTTTTAGATTAGCGATTGATGAATTACTGACTAGAGAGGCATTTACCTTTATTAATAATTATAAAAAAGTTAATAAATTTATTAATTTTAAAAATTTAGTCTACGTTTAAATCAAAAATGGTTTAATGAGGAATAGAATATTTTTCGACTAAAACTAATGTTTAATTATATTTAAATTGCGTTAGGTTTTAATTCAGCTTAGGCACACTTTTAGAGTTTATCTGTATGTTAAGAGGTTCATT